AGAATACACTAAAATATTCTTTTAAAAACTTATCCCCTCCTTCCAGAAAATGCCTTTTGTCCTACTGACGCACAGCCTGCAAGCCCCTGGAGGACTTCGGCCATCTATAATTTAACTCCAACCTCCAGAACACGAATGTGGTTTTGGAAGCAGTGTGTGAATGTCAGGAAATGAGAACCATGCTCAGGCTGTCATTCAGGCAATTGAAGTGCTTGCTACTAGAATCCCAGACTTCAAAATGTCCTTACCCGGGGCCCAACACAAACCAATCCAAGATAAGTGAGGGCATACTAAACTTCTTCCCATTGTACACCTTTCAGCTTTTATGTTACTGAAACCACTTACAGTGAATACAAAATAACATCACCAATATTTTGTCTACTATTTTAAATTTCCCAGAATGCCTTAAGAATATGAACTTGGCTTTTAATAATTTAGTAAGTTCAAGTCACCAGGTCATAGCTGGTCATGGAGTTCTTAAGATTGTTACTTGGAGACTAGCAGAGAGCACCAGTTTGGTGGGTCCATCCGTCTGTGCAATAGTCTTCCATACATATCTGTAGCATTTGTTAAGCTTCCCACTGGAGAAAGCAGAGTGTATCCTCAGAACCATGCAAAATGTCGTGCAAAATAAGAGGTGCCCTTGAGTGGGTGTCGGGTGGGCGAATGGAGGCTTTCATGGAGGACCTCCATTGTCTGAGCCCTGACCTGCCCAAGTACAAGTTTATCGCTTCTGTCAGCACAAATCTCACGTTCAAAAACTATAGGTCCCTGGACTTTAGCTTTTCTCAGTTTGTTTGAAATAGCTCCTCTGAAGACGTAAATAAATATTCTCTGTGAAAGGCTGTTGTGTACTCCTGTGCAACCAAAAACTGAAAAATGAGCTCAGGAAGCCAGGCCTGGAAAGTACCAAGTAATCACTTCATCTAAACAAGCACTTCAAAGATGAGGAAGGAAGGGGAATACAAGTCCTGAACGTGGAGGGACACCCCTTCCACCAGCTGCTGTGAGACGAATTGGTTAATCATGACATTTGCACTCTGAGAAGCTGATATACATTTTTACACTCAATACATATGTGTTAAGGCCTGACTATACACCAGTTGCTGTCCTGGGCTCTGTAGGTTCAGCAGTGGACAGAGAATATTAAGATCCTGAACTACTGGAATTTACATTAAACAGGAATGAAGCATAGCGGGGGGAAAATGGAAAGAAACTATTAACAACCCTGAGATATTCTAACAATGAAAATCACACTCCTGTTAATACCCAAGGGAGATTTTCTTTCTCCCATAGAATAGAATATTTCTAGCTCCTACCTATCTAACCCACTTTTCATTTCAAATTGCAATGACCAATAGTCTTGGGTTTCCCTTTGTTAGAAACGGTCACCCCACAGATCACATGCCTTATCTGCAAACTGAAGGTTAGCCCACATGATTTACTTAGATTTCCCTCTCCATTTAAGACTCTTCATGAAACAGAGCCTTGTGGGTGTTTGAATATTTTCCCTACTCTTCCCAGCCCCATAACCACCCCCTACATTCCCAGGAAGGGCTCTGAGGATGACACTTCAGTTTCTGTATCTAAAAGACCTCCTGGCTGGTGTGGTGCAGCCTGTGACACCGTGATAGTGGGGGCGAGTCCGACACACTTCCTGAAACACAGTGGTCTCCTGGCCCTTCCCTGCCTTCCAGATCCGTAGAACCACGAGCTGTCAAGAGCATCAGCTATGGTGCTGGGATAAGCAATGCTGTTGAACTTGTCAGCTTTCTGATCCTTCCCAGATCGTTGTTTTAGCTCAGTTCTTGGAAGAGGGAGTCTTTCCGAGACTTTTATTTTTCTTTGTGGTGTTGTATTTGTTGTGCTAAGAATAGAATATTGCGATCATATGATTTTAGGACTCAGAAAACCACAGGGTAATAAAAGAGGAACCAAACTGAATTCAAAAGGATTATATATAGATAGATATAGATATGAGTCATCATAGAAAATGAAAACTAAAATTTGTTTAGAAAGAAACTTAGAGACGAATTATCTCATATGCCAATTTCTTTAGTCCAATGGAGACACTAAATAAGGCTTTTCCACAGTGCCAGGCTTTGCATTCGTTTCGGGTGGAATTTGTGTTAAGGGTTGTGTCCACAACCTTTTACTGCAGGCCAGAGCTAGTGCGGGCCATGGTGGAATTGTTCCCCGTGAGCCAGGATTCGTCCCTCTGCGTTGAAGCCTGACTAGGAGGCAACCCCAGTATTGCCCAGGCAGGTTTATGTACAAGCAACAGAGAACAAATTGACTCAGATCAGGAATACGTGTAGTTGGCAGGTCTTGCACTTGGCAAATACTGACAGTTTCATTTTACACGTGGGAGGTAATGTCTCCTGCAAGAGTCCTGTGTCTCCGCCCCTTGTACGTAATCTCTCCCTGTGCTATAATGCTCCGATCGTCTACAAAATCTCCGACCACTGAAGTCCACGAAGACTACCTTTTTGTTTAAAGTAAAAACACATTTATCAATTAACCATGTTCCATCTTGTACAGTTATGCTGCTTTTTCTTGCATCCTTATTTAGGTTTTAATTGTATATATGCCTTGTTTGGAACTAGATTATGAACTACACTTTTTGAATTTTCCTCTTTGAACCTGATACTATATATTGAAGATATTGAACCCGATGTGCTCAAGATTTAGCCTTCCCTGATACAGACACAAAAATGTTGCAAAAATACATGGTTAACCTGAAGCCCAGTTTTAAAGTATGCTGACATACCTTCTTGATGACATCACTGTCACTTTTCCAGGAAGCCCCAGTGTCCTCCGACTGGAGCTTGCATTTAGGTAGCCAGCGGCTTTCATTTCTCCTTCAGATTATTAATGTTTGTGTCCAGGGAAAAATTGGCTCCAGTCACTTATATCTTGGCGTAAATATTAATCTCTGTTTCCCCATGAGAATTAGCAGTTTCATCCAGTTTCACCAGTGCAATGACAGACTCTGTCACTCTTTGAAGGAGCTTTCCATGAGCGAGTCTGGGGGACGGGTCAGGCCGTAGAGTGGTGGTGGTGGTGACAGACCTTACACGGAGGGAATCACGACTGTAGCAGCAACCTCCTCTACACCCATTTGACGCAAAGACTAGAAGCAGCAGCATCTTCAACTAAAGCCCAGGTAGGATATTTAGAACCACCCAAGCTCAGAACTACTCGGTACCAGGCAGTCAATCAGTGCAGATGTTTTCAAAGAAGAATTTTGTCCCAGTAGTTGAGATACCTGTTTTCTTTTATTAAGGAAGGCCGATTGTTGATGGCCTCTCCTCATGAGCAATGATTATACTTTGTGTAGATAGTAGAAAAGAAAAAGTAAACACTCATGGTCAGTAACCATCCACCCTGACAGTCCTAACTCAGTGAAGAAGGCACATTATAGGGAAGGAAAGCTTTAGTGCAAAACTGTGTATTGGCAGCTCATGAAACACCATTGCTCAAAAGCCATTTGTTGATTACATAAATCCATACGGATTAAATCCATACCCATATGGATAAAAACATAAATCCATATTGAATGTAGTAGTATTTAGCAGCATTATAGTTCAAGTTTTAGAAAATACTAATGTAAAACATTGCAAATCTTTCAAATGATGTAATGATACTGATTTGCTAAGTACCTGATTATCATCTTTATTATTATTTATCCAAAGACAACAAATCTTTCAGCTTTGACTACTAAAACCAAAGTGACAATGTAAAGAAATTGGTTTGCATTGATGAACATGTGTATCATTTTCTTAGATGTAGAACATTTTTAGAATTATCTAACTATTTTTAGAATGGTGATAGAATAACTTGTTACTGAAATTTAGTACATTCAGTTTAAACCACTTCAGAACTCCTGAAGAGCACAGTGACTTCGGGATGGCAGAGGTGTGAAAATATTCCCCCTTCTCACACAGTGAAGGACGAAACACTCCCTTGCTAGCAAAATCTTTGTGGGCCTTCCTCTGTGCAAGCTCACAGCAAAACCACGTCTGTAACCCATCGGTCAGAAAGCTGTACCAAATAGCAAAGCATTTTCCCAAGCTCAAGATTGGAAACTTCACCAAGAGTTCAGTAAGTGATGCTGGCATTCAGATGCATGTGCCAATAGTCTCGGTGTTACCAGAGTAGCTGCACTTGGCTTTGGCCCTTGGCTCAAAGTCGCTGTAACAACAAAAAAAATATAAGATTGAGGCAGGAGAGGTTAGAGCTCTGAACGAAATGGTAAGTGACATTGTTCCTTCCTTCAGGAAAAGCATTAGCAGAAGTACCATAATTATGCCTCTTAATACCTATTCCTCCTTTTTAAGGCCTGGGAAATATTTAGCTGATTTGCCCAATGTAGCAATTTTTCTGTTAGAGAACAGGGAGGCTTTGGTGTTCCAAAACAGAAGATTTTTAAACATAGCTTTAAAAATGACTCAAAATCAGTGTTTTTAAAGGCTGTCATACCAGTTGTTATTCTTTTAAATTAAAAAGGAATATTTTGTGTGCACGTGATAGAAAACTCGTTTTGTGTGATTAGATGCAGGACAGCCCTCTCGGCTTGTCTCTGCCACTACGCAGGTGCGAACTCAGTCTCTCTCTAGCACACCTGCACTGTCTTGGTTGGGTTTCTCTGGGACTCCTCTTCCCAGCACCATCCTCTTGATCGCAAAGGGCACTGGTCTCAAAACGAAAAGTGATGACTCTCTTCTAAGTTCTACTGTTGCTGGGGCCGTGGCTAGTGTGGATATTGTATAGCTTTTGCTCCATGTTCATGGGCCTGCTGTAAAAAGATTTGTACTGAGTGAAATAATAGATGTGTCCTTACCCCAGAAGCTGCTTAGAACAAGTTAATTGAGAATTTGGCAGAATGAGCCCATTCAACTTTTTTGAACCTTGAGACCTAAGTTTATGTTGTGTTTTTGAAGGAATACAAAGGAAACCCAGCTTTCATCATAACAACGCTTCTTTCCTCTTCCCCACAGGCCCAACCAGACCATCACTATGACCGATGGGGACTATGATTATCTGATCAAACTCCTGGCCCTTGGAGACTCAGGGGTGGGGAAGACGACGTTTCTTTATCGGTACACAGACAATAAATTCAATCCCAAGTTCATCACGACAGTAGGAATAGACTTTCGGGAAAAACGTGTGGTGAGTTCTTACCCATGCTGTTTAACTTATTATTGATCCCACCCTGCATTACCCCCCCCACCCCCCCGGACAAAATAAGAATTAAGAAACTATGTTTATTGCAGCCAAGTCATCTGTCTTTTATCACACAAAATTTATAACCTGTCATATTACTTTTTACTTGCTCAACTGTAAATAACATTTTGCATAGAAAAATGTTGAGTGACATTATTGCTTGTCTCCAGAAGCATACAGGGCAACTAAAATAAATAATTTATGGGTTTGTATAGCGTGTTTTCTATGAATTCTTAAGGAATCTTTTAAAACTTGAATTATTCAGGGTCTACAAACATTAACTCTTAATCTGAGTTAAGCTTCTCGGTAAGAACAAGTGCTCATTTCCTAGTCCTAGGAAAGATGTTGAAAGAGTGATTGGCAAATAACTGGAACATGAGCTTTGTGAGTTCTTGCTGCATTTTTATTTATGTGTAGACTCAGCCATCAATCACTCGCTGATTGTGAGCAGAATGTGAGACCAATCCGTGCTATTTTCCAAGATAAGGGAGTTTAAGTGAGAATCACAACCACTTCCTGCTCCTACGCTAGACGCTAATGACAGGAACGGAGATATTGTGACATGTGAGACGGGTAGCATAGGCGCATAAGCGTCGCCAGATTCACTGCCACGCACCCAGGTGTTCTTGATTGTCAACACGGCTGTGGCTCGCGGTTGGTGTCACAGATCTACTCATTCCTTGAGAATGGAGGGAAAAACAACAAAGAAAGTGATGGTTGAGAAGTTGAACCAGGGCTTATCATTCTGTCCTGTCCCTTACCTGGAAGTCGATAAACGGTAATGCGGTCTTAGCGGACTTGCTTCCGGCACCTACTGGGTTGTTTTGCACCGTCTTTCCTCCCCAGATCCCCTACTGATCTGCACATAAGTCCCCGTCATGTCCCCTTTAAGACATTTCCACTGAGCCGTGCTTAAGGGAGCTGATGGAGTATGAACATCGTTATGCTTTGCTTAATAAGCAGTCAAAAGACCACAATTTAAAACATGTAAGCTTTTCCTAAAAAGCCTTGGAAGGAATGACTAATAAAGAAAGACTTAAAATATCCTGTGTAAACTTACTGAAATTTTTTGTGCGTATTTCATGGCTAAGTCATTCTGAAAGTCCAGAGCACAATGAAATATATGCAGGTATTTGTAAGTCATTTTACTGTTTGAAAACTGCCTTCATGTTTGCTGTTTCATTTAAGTTTACAGTAACTCTGTAAAGCAGGGAGAGATGATGGGTCTCGATTTTCAGGTAAGAAAACAGGGTTCAGAGAAGTTAAATGAAGAGTTGATATTTGAACCTAGAACTGGGGTCCTAAATCTAGTGTTTGCTGCCTCTCTGAGGAAGTGACAGAAGGTGTCTAATTTAAGTTTGCAGTATGCCTGAATTGTGTTGAAAATCATCCTTGTACTTGACATTTAAAAGTGAGAGTATATGTGATACTGCTGGGAAAAAACCAGAGCAAATATTTATCCTGCACTATGAACTTTGATTATAGTAATCGAGAAAAAAACATGTGGAGTGAACCCAGAGAATTTGAATGTTGTCGAAATCCAAAGCACTAGAAACTGATGAAAAAAAATCGTCTCCCTCAGGTTTACAACACGCAGGGGCCCAATGAAGCATCAGGGAAAATGTTTAAGGTGCACCTCCAGCTCTGGGACACCGCGGGACAAGAGCGGTAATGTGCATTTCTTTTGTTTCTAGTTACAAGTAGCTCGGAAAAACTGGTTTTATTTTTGATTTGCATATATTTCATTACAGTTTACTTTCATTATGTCATATTGGTTTCAGGTGTCCAGGGAAGCACTGACCCACACTATTTGCGACTCTTCCCCTGGCTTTCAAGTAGACATTTGTGTCTAGAAGTAACAATAAGTTGTTTGTAGTTTATTAACCGTAACTAGCATGTTGGGTTTTGTCCAGATTTCAAAAATCAGATGTTCAAAAATCTCTGTGAAGATTCTTGTTTTACGTTGTCATTGTACTTCATGAGAGGGGAAAAACAAAAACTTCTCCAGAATGGAATTGAATTGAATTAAGGTGAGAAATTAATACTGCTACAGGTGTTCCTCAGAGAAAGAGTTGAAGGAAGCGATGTTTAGATCCTTCTTGTCTCTTTCCGTTCTTCTGTGCAGCCTCCCTGTCCTGTGCCATCTGACTAACTTGGTTCCCTCAGACCTTGGACACGGCATTGCCCTCCAGCAGGGATGTGCCACCCTGCCCTGCCTCCCTGACCCTCTCCTTTACCAGGCCTGGCTCATACGCCACCCCCTTAGGGCTTTCTGAACACCCCAACATCAATAAGCTGCTTCTTCCTTCTGAAATCCAACAACACCTCCTCCACCATCCCTTAAGTTAATTAATTTTTACCACCTGTAATAAAGCAGGTTTTTATTTTTGTCTCTATCTGCTGTTCTTTGATTCACTTGTGGTCCCGCCACCCCAGCAAAACTGTCAGATTTATTCGGGCTGAGACCGTGGTTGTTTCGGGTCATATCTGGTAGAGCGCGCAAGGTGAGAGATGCTCAGTAGACAACAGTGCTGCTTGCGGAGAGCTGGAGGTGCTATTTTATTTGATGACAGTATATTTCTTTGAGATGCGAGATTTCAAAGTGCTCAAGCCCCCAAGCTAATGAAGCTCTTCAATATTAGATTAAGGAAAAATTGGCAATAGATTGACAAGATGAGATATGTAGAAGGCACATACCTCCAAGTCCTACACTGCATGCCTTTGAATGTTTATGCTTGTAAACACTGTGGCTTTTGAAATGCGTCCAAAGTGTTCTCGCTTTCAGTGAGTGGGAACGCCGGGAGAGGTGCCGGGCCGTCTCCGTGAGCTTTTTTGACTGTGAATCCCATTTACACACACCCTTCAACACGGCTTGCTGGTGCTGCCACAGTCATTCCTCGCAAGAATCTCTGCTCATATGTCAGTTTGGTTGTCACAAAGACGTATGTTTTATAGACCAGTTTGATTCATATTTGAAGAAGTATTATGAGAAAATGTGGTTCCCATATGTCTTCGCACATGATATGTCAGCCTCGCGGGATGGCAGGCTTCTCTCGTCTGTCCCCTCCCGACAGCTGCTCTTGCTCTCCGAGGGAAGCGGGGAAGACTAGGGGCAGTCGTGGTAACAATGGGGTTATTCATCCCTTGAGGATTCTGCCTTCCGCCAAGGTAAGGTGTCGCTAAGCCACAAGATAAACAATCCTTCACACCTCCACCCTGTGCAAGGACACCTGGAGGCATAACCCGTACAAGGTCATGGTTACTGGTAAAAGCAATGTGATGGGAAGGAGGTGAAAATAACACCCCTTGTGTGAGTGTAAAGGACACAGGGTGCAGCCTTAGTGCCCAGGGAGGGAGAACAAGGCGTCATGTGCCCCTGGGATCTGTTGGTTTGTATGGGGTCTCAGCTCTCTCCGCCCTGCGGACAGGATGAGATTGATGGATGAAGCTGGAAACCAGTTGCCTTCCCTCTGGAATAGGTCCTGGAGAGAATGGAGGGAAGCAGGGGCACTGGGGTAGAATGGTCGAGGGATGAGCCATGTGCAGACGAAAGAGTATCCTCTCCCCATCGGTGCAGATGCAGAGGGACTTGCCCCAGTCAGCTCCATACAACGAGCACGTTTTCAAAGTAGCTTTGTCATGTGCTGTGGGCAATGAGAGGGGAATGCGGCACAGTCTTATTTTCAAATAAAACACACACACACGCAGAAAGAGAGCAGGCTGTTGTGGCTGAGTTAGCCATGCTATTGCGGTTGAGTAGGAGACAATTTGGTGAGTACAGCTTGTCCCTACAGAGAGGGATCCATTCAGTGAAAGCACTATAATCTCTGTGAGCTTTCTTCCAGTGACTGAGAGGAATAAACCCACAAGAAAAAAAAATGAGTACAATTTTCGTTATTTCATAATTATCATGATTATGTTGATTATAATCATCCAAAATATACTCATTTGAAAATAAATAGTCATTTAACTGTCTCTTCTCCTTGCTTCAGTATTAAAAGTTCTGTTCTTTACTGAAGTCATGTAAATCTTTGCTGGTTTTATATTCTTGCCTATGCTCTTTATTTCTTTCTCTGAACTTGGCATACACTGAGTAAGGAATTACTGTGTTCAGGGCCATGGAAACATAATGCACAATAAGCTAGAAACAGCTCCTTTGCTCTTGGAGACTTCGGACGGTAACAGGAAACACAGGGTGATGGGCAGGCGTGCCACAAGGAGCCCATAGTCCAGATGTGGCTGTTGGCAAGACTGCTGGGGGGGGGGTGACATTTCCTCTGCTGCCATTTTATACATATATAAATACATACTCATACACGAGGTATGAGTGAGTCTTTTTCAGGCTACAGGGTTGGAGGGGAAGGAAGCAGTGAGGCGAGGTTACCCCCAGAGAGAACAGCGTGTGTGCAAGCCCAGGGGAGAGAGTGAACTTCGTGAGAACTGGAAGGAGGTCAGCGTGCCTGTGGGTCGTCCAGAGGTGAACCTGGCTGGATGAGCAAGAGTCCGTTCACACAGAGCCTTGACAGCTTATTAAAGAGTTCAGTCATTATCTTAAGAGCAGTGCATCATCATCATTGTGCTTTTAGCAGACGGTTTGCATAATCAGTGGGCAGAGACCAGGGAAGGGGAGGGTCCCAGACGAAATTGGAGACAGGAAGCCGGTCGAGAAGGCTGTTGCAGTTATCCAGGTGAAAGGTGGTGGGTCTGCCCCTGGAGCGGTGGCAGGGGGGAGGGACACAAATGCCAGGGTCAGGAGGTGGCTGCTGATTGTGTACAGCCGGTGAAGGAGAAAGAGGGGTGGCACTCGGGAGTTGGTGAAACCACTGTCAGAAAAGGAAGTCAAAGGGAGAGGCCAGTTTGGTTTTAGGCAAGTGCACTTGCAGGCACATTGGTTTCCTCCAGGTGGAAATGTCCAGCCAGTAATTGGGTACAGTGTGAGGCAGGAAAGATCCCTGTCCATAAATCTGCGATTCAACACACTGGTGATAATGGAGCCAGGAAGTGCTCCATTATCCATGAGATTACCCATGGACATGCATAGAGTAAGATGGGGTTGAGAACAGAACCACGAGGAAACCAAAGAATCGACAAATAGGCTAAAACAGGGGACCAGAAATCAGGGCATTTAGGAAAGCAAGTGATAGTCTTAATTTCAAAGTTATGTGCCTTTGTCCAAGTCCATTGCCAAAGGCCCTTCTGTATTGGCATAGCCCAGCCTTCTCTGGTCCGTAAGTGCGGCCTCTGGTTTCACCAGTCCTGCCATTGAAGTGGGTCTTACCACATCTTCAAAGTCACTGAGGGTGTTGAGGTGGAGGGGCTAGGAGCAGGGGAGGGACAGTTGCTATACTGCCCATGACAGGGTGTATTCTTCAACCCCCCCACCCATAGACAGCTGGTCTTGCTTTCTCTCTCCAATGCCTGAGTCTCTACCTTCTCCCGGTTCCCGTAGTCACTTTCCCCCTCCTCCCTTCTTCCCTGTCCTCCCTCTGCCTCAGGACATGTGGATGTTACTCTTTCACTCCAAAGAATGCTCATCAAAGAGTGTTCTCACCAACTTTGTTTTGCCCTACGAAACAACTCTCATTCCAGCTGCCGACAAGTCGTGGCTTTCGGCACGTGATCCTGAGTACTCATTTTCAGGCTACCATGTGCCAAACTCTCTTCTGGGCACAGACGAGAATGTTTGAAAAGTATAAGCTAAAGTCCCAGCATTCTACAGCGGCTTACATTTTAATTATGGACCACAGGAGGCCCGTGAGCCAGTGTGCCCCGGGGGCGGTGTGAGCAAGCGTGTGACTGAATGTGTGTAAGTGCAAAAAGCCAGGCCCCGGTCTCAAGATGAATCGACCACCAGATGTCCCCCCGTGGCCCCGCAGCCGTCGTGCTGAGCACTCTCTGGTTCTGTAGGGCACACCCTGGAATGCCATGAAGGTCTCATACTTGCAAGGGACGTACTGCAGCATTGTTTGTGCCGTCACCAGAATGTGTCTGCGGACTAACTTTCCCATCCACCCACTGTGCTTTCTCGGCAGGTTCCGGAGCCTCACGACCGCCTTTTTCAGAGACGCCATGGGTTTCTTATTAATGTTTGACCTCACCAGTCAGCAGAGCTTCTTAAATGTCAGAAACTGGATGAGTAAGTGGGACCGAGTAATCTGCGTTGACCGCTTTGGGGCCTGACAGCTCTGTGTGTGCGTATGCTGCACAAGAGGGAACAGATTGGTTGTTGCAGACCAACCTCGGGAAGTCGTGAGTTCAGTGTTTCCTGGGCCACCTTCAAAGTGGTGGCCGTCTGTGCATCACCCAAGGTGGCTTGGAACTGTGTTTTCCTTCGACGCTCTTAGGAAAAGCCTATGTGGCTTCTTATCCAACTGTATTTGAGGTCTTTGTTCTTGCAGTCGTGAGGTCGTTCATTCCACTCGTCCAGTTCATCCTGAAGGACTTAGAATAGTGTGAGCTGCTGCGCCCACTGAAAAACACAGAGGGGACCCAGAGAAAAGGACTGCATGTTCTGAGAGGGTGCACTGGCTCCTAACATGTGTTCCCGTGAACTTGAGTTAACTAACGGGTTAATTTTAACTAGTGGGTGAGTTAGGCGAGAAATGGCTCCAGAGCAGACCAGCCGCCATGTGAGGATCAGGTGCAGTGTGTCAATCAGCTCACAGTGAAAATTTCACTTTTTTTTTTTACAAAAAAAATATTCAAATGTGAGGAGGCCTTGCATAGAAAAATCTATACAACTTAGATATAGCATGAAGTTAAAAGGCATCTATTCAGCCATTAAAGCCAGAATAATATATGTCAGTACAGAAGAGTAGTAGCTGATTGTTTTATTTTTTAATTGATACGGCAGGAAAAAGAATATTTTATTTGCATTTTTATGACAAATGTAAACTTTGATTCTTCTGGGATGTATGTGTCATCCTGTGGCGCTGGTGATAGTCTCGTCATTTCTGGATTGTCGGGCTGTCCGTGGCTGGCACGATATTTTTTGTTGAGCTGGGTCATGTTATGCCTCTGCTCCAAGTCCTTCTTTCTGGGACTTCCCCTTTCACTTGGAACACACCCCAGAATTCTCCACCCACCCACAGAGCCCTGGTGGCTGGACCTTAAATTCTTCTCGAATTCACTCTTGCTCTGTCCCCCCAGCTCACAGGCCTCCCGCCAAACAACTCGCCTGCTCTTTGGAGGAGGGGACAGAAGGCCCCAAACTGCCTTGGGGCCCTTGCCCTTCCGGTTCCCTGGGCCTGGAGTTCTCTCCTTCCTTGCCAGAGTGTGCGGGTTCTTTCATCTCCTTCAAGGGTTCGTTCAAACCCTGTTTATCTGCTGGGAGAAGCCTTTCCGACCACCTCACTACTCTGTGTTCCTTTATGTTGCCTCGCATCGCTGCCTCCACCTGACATTATATTATGTTACGTTATGTATTTCTTTGTTTACTGTGGTGTTGATGCTCCACCGCTAACTAACACGCGAGCTCTGGAAAAGTTCAGACTCTGTCTGTTGCGTTCCATTGCAGCATCCCAAAGCCTGGGCGAGTGTCTGGCACAGAGAAGATGTTCTCTCTGTGTTCTTATGTATTCTCGTTATTCTCTATATAGTTATTCTTATGTATTATTTATAACTACTTATGTAACTGCTTTAAATGTGAGTTCAATGGCATCGTTGCTACCACAGGGAAAAATATTACTTCTCCAAATGAATGTTTATCTTAGGAACTGTCTCTATTTTCTTTTATTATGATATTTCCATATTCAAATTTTGGTGTTATTAGATTCTGAGGAGATAAAGAGATAAGATTAGTAGATACTTTCAGAGAATTATTTCTTCATCCTTTATGAAAGCAGATGAGACTCTCCCTTGTGTTAAAAAAAACTCAGAAGGATACTATTGGGATTTAAGATAATTAATTATTATATCTAATAATACTTTAATTTCTCACTCCTGAATAATTGGTGTTAATAGGGCAAGCCTTTGTCCTCTTCCTTGGCAAAATTGCTTGCAGCATGCCTTGAAATAACGTTAGAGTAATCCCTGTAACCTCGAGAACACAGGTTGGCAGATTTCTTATCATTTCCTTCCTTCCTTCCTTCCTTTCTTCCTTCCTCCCTCTCTCCCTCCCTCCCTCCCTTTTTCTTTTTCTCCCCTTGCCCCTCCTTGTCCTCCTTCTTCCTCTTCTCTTCTCTTCTCTTCTCTTCTCTTCTCTTCTCTCTCTTCTCTCTCTTCTCTCTCTCTCTTTCCTGCAGAAAAGAGAAAACCAAGTTTCCTGTCTTAAAATTGTACATGAATTTGTGGTGGTTGGAAAGTGCTCTGCTCTCATAGATCATCACCTTGGACTCCCAGAGCATGGAGCTGTAGCAGTCTCCTGAAGGAAGGAGCAGACTTCTGTGCCCCACAGTCACTTCTCCGGCCTCCGCCTAGGTCTGAGACACCGGTGGTGTGGAGCAGCCTGTCCGCCTGGAGGGCACTTCCCCAGATGGAGACCAGCACTACTAGGTGTTTGTACAGAACACCTGTTGTAAACTGTCACTAATCCTGACAACACGCAATTTGTGAGGCATCATCTCCATTTCACAGATGAGGAAACCGCAGCCGAGAAGAGTTCAGGAACCTGGCTCATACACATAAAAAGCTGGAGAGGGACAACTAGAATAGGAATCTGTTATGAGCAGTCATTTGACATCACTTGTTTGTAACTAACTTGCTGGCTCCATCTGCTTTCTTTCTAAGGCCAACTGCAAGCCAACGCTTATTGTGAAAATCCAGATATTGTGCTAATTGGCAACAAGGCAGACCTGCCAGACCAGAGGGAAGTCAGTGAACGGCAAGCCCGGGAAATGGCTGACAAGTACAGGTAAGTCGGTGACACGGTGACGTCGTCTGACCTTTTACACTGCTGCTCCGTGACGGGGCAGGGACTCAGGGCTGATGCTAGGAGGAGTCTCCTTGAATGAAGAATGGCACGTAAACGGAAGAGATCTTCCAGAGGCATGGGTGCGATATTTTAAATCAGTTAGTAATAATAGCATCTGACATTTACTGAGTACTTAGTATGTGTGAGCACAAAATACATACTCATGTAATCCCTCATAACCATGTGCAGGAGATCTAGAGTTCTCCCATTTCACATGTGAAGAGTTGAGGCAGAGAGAGATTCAAAGCAGATGGGATGCTGTGTAGCTGGTAAGTGGCAGAGCTTGAATTCAACCCGGTCAGTCTGAGATCAGAAGCCACATTTTTTGTATGTGCAATTCCTTTGTACATCTTGTATCTTTTCTGATTTCTCCCTCTCAAAAAGACTTGTCTTCTCTTCCATGCTAGCATTCCGTATTTTGAAACAAGTGCAGCGACTGGCCAGAACGTTGAGAAAGCCGTGGAAACTCTCCTGGACTTAATCATGAAGCGAATGGAGCAGTGTGTGGAGAAGACCCAAGTCCCCGACGCTGTCAACGGTGGAAGTTCCGGGAAGCTGGACGGGGAAAAAGCAGCCGAGAAGAGATGCGCCTGCTAGACTTTGCCCAGGACCTCATCACCCAGCCCCCCAGCCTGATATTACTGCCCGATCAGCGACCAACCACGAAATCGCCGCCGTGCACAGTGGCGTGTCTGTCTTCTCCTGCCAGAGAATCTGTTTTAAGAAACCAAAATAGTCAACAGTATTCAAAAGAATTGACCGGTGGTTTCTGAGGCCCCTTCAAACAAGATCAAAGCTTTCGTAGTGTACCCTCACCAATACGAGTGCTGGGTTCATGGTTCTTAAAGGAAGACAAGTGTGCAGGAGAGTGCACAAGACGAAATTGGAGTGTGTTTTAAACCAGAGCCAGCCTTGCCCTGTTGCACTGGAGAGGGATAGGCTACCAAAGGGAGAACATAGAAAGATGATTGTTTTTTAAAAGACTGAGTTTACTTCTCACGTAGAATATGATTATTACTCTTGGTTTGCATTGGGGGAACATATTAGTTAAAGTGGACACACAATAAGGAATTTTAAATGGATCGTTAAGAATGATCCTGCCCAATAAGCGGTACTAGAAAGATTCATTTAGTGATGAGGCTGTGGGGGGATGAATGTCAGACGTCTGCGAAAATGTGGGCACTTGTGTAATAATGCCATTCTTATATTAGTACATGTCAGACAGACAAGAACAAGACGGTGAGTGACAAAGTACAAGGGAAGTGCCCTGGGAGAAAAATGAAAGTGGGGGAACACGGCATGTGGACAAACGAAATGAAATGTATCTGTTGCAGATGTCTGGAGGAGTTAATAGTCAGCTTTCACTCCGGCCAAGTAGAAGTTGACATTATCAGTGGGGATTAAGAGAAGATCCAGAATTTCCATTTCGAACATCGTTTTAGAAATAGGTTCAGGGGTCAGCTTCACATTTCATTTTTTTCCCCTAAGTAAATGGTGATAGTCGCAAAGACAAATGAAAGATTGCTGTTTATTAAGTATCTTTCTTTAAACACAGTAAAAAAAAACCCCTATTTCACCTTAATTTCTTTTAGGTGAATATGCTGGCGATGTGAAACAAAAGGTGACTATTAGTTGTGGATTTGTTTTCAATTTACAAAAACAGTGAAATCTCTAAATCGCATTTCTCTCTCCTAACCCACACCTACCCCTGGCTTTGAATCAATTGTAAAAATACAGGTGTATCACTGTGTAGACCAGCTTCAGAGTAATGATGGATCAATTTCAATGGTAACTCTGAATTTTCATGTCATTAATCACAAAAAAATTGATGGTAACTCATGCCATATTATAGTATATTTAGCATTTGTTTTTATTTTGTCTAAGGCAAAAGGCCCATAGTTGACCTATATTTGGGGATTGGGCAGGAATGGAACCGTATTTTATGTCACCAAAAATTTGTAAATCATTTTATTTTTTTATAAGAAGTTGCCTTTTCTTTTTAAAAAAATGATCCTCAAAGTATTTTTCATTGGCCTGTTCTTATCATTTGTGTCTAAATTAATGACCAGCTTCTATTAAACTGTTATTTAAATATTCCAGTGAATTTTATCAATAACAAAGGCATTACACTTTATGTTTTCTCTTTTTTATTAGGCGTTATATGATTTTTCAATGGAATAGTTCCTCTTCCTGTAACATGTAAACTTCATTTTTTTCCAACCTGGTGCCTATTTTGTGAAGTTACAGATGCCAGAAACCCTCAGCTCAGCTCCCCATCCCCCACCTCTGCCTGCCAACCTCTCTCTGGTACCGAATCATTTTTAGATCCAAGGAAGTGTCTGTAGCCATAATGATCTTAGCGTGGACTGGGCTCAGAAATGCACCATGAATGAAAGCAGTGCGGAAGCTTTGATGAGTTCACCCTCTGCGAAGTTCCTGGCGTTTACTGCCCACCTCCTCTGACTTCCGCAGGGCGTTGCCAGCTCCTAAGATGGATCACAGGCGGGGGCCGCCTACAAAGGTGTTTTCCTCCAGGATGTTCTTCATGACCTCGGTACCTGTGCCATGAAAATGGAAATCTGTTAGCTAACAAGAAACGTGTTTCTTTTAGAAAAGGGAACAGAAACAATGTAACTATTGTTGTAGCAAAATTTGGTGAACTTTTGAGGTCATTATATCACTTTCTTATTTGGATCCAAATTGTGATTTCCCCTGCATTTCCACAATATGGAATGTTTAGCCTTTATAAAATTCTAAAGGTATTCTATTTGGGGTATGTCTTTCTATTTCTTTTAATTTTCCAGTTATATGATTGATTTACTTATGCCAAGATTCTGTCATTGTCAGCTTATTTAATGAGCATTTGTTCAGGGTCTATTTTGAGATTGTCACTTGATCGTTGCAGCGTGAAGCAGAGGGTGATGATGTCCGTAATTATAGAACTGCGCCTGTGAAAAGAACAATTATTGGGTAATACTCTCAAGAACAACAAAACTTAAAACAGACATGAAAAGTAATTTATAATTGTATTCTACTTATAAAAACTTGATCTAAAAAATATTATTCTCTGAGAAGTTTGACACCTGACCTCAAAGTCTATTTAAACACTCATACAAATTCCTCCTCTCATTATCACATAATTCATATTCTGTATTATTAATTTTACTGATTTGGGGCCACAAAGTATGCAGACTGCCTTGGAGAATTGCACAGTCCCTCTCACCCACAGTAACACGTATTTTTAGCCAAGGTGAGTCCTATTACTAATTATCTCCCTAATGATCTTGTAAACCAAATTGCATTTTGGGAAACTATTTAAAGTGTACGTGAAATTCCTTTCTGGTATAAAAACCATGTCTGGGGCGTGTATTCTGCTTCGATGTTTACATTGCTCTAAACCGGTGCCTCGGATACCTCTGTGACCAAATCTGTCTCCAGCCACGTAGCTCGTCCTATAATCTGTTATAGAGAGGCCTCCCAGAGACACTGATGCAGCTGAAGGTCTTTGATGTCTTTGGCAGAGGGTTCAAGGGCATCACCAGAATCTGGAGGTCATTACCACCACCTCCTGGTCTCCTGGCTCACTTCTCACGGATTGAGCATTACTTGAGACTCTTAACTGATTAGGTACAAAGTTATCGTTAAATGTAAAGAAAAAAAAATCCTTTGGAAAAATGTATCAGAACTAGTTGCGAGAACACAGTGTTCATCTTGGTATGTGGAGGGTGACAGGCCGTGAATCGGCAGAGAAAATACTAAATTCTGGGAGTTGAGCTGGTGGGTCTCTACATGAGAGCTTTAAAATTCTTTCAAGTCACACTCTAGCCAGTTTGCTACCATTTCCATATTACCAGCTACCACACTGCAAAAAATTCAAAGCCAGCATTTTCTACAGTAAATATTTTGTCTTGTTTCGATCAGACGGGCCGTGCTCTGTATTCAGCGGGGGCGGGGGGGGGGGCGCGGGGGAGGGTTCTGTCTTTCTTAGGCTTCTAGTGTAAGGTGTTTTCTACCAATCAGTATGGGTCAGATGAACTGGGCAAGAGTTTTAATCAGCCTTTACGAGAGGGAGAGAAGCTTGACCATAGAGAAGGACATGATTATATTTAAAAAAATAACTGAATAGTAGCCAAATATTCTTTAAACTGTAAAAGGAGTCTGCTGGAAATCGCCAAATGTAACGAAGTTCATTTTCAGTGGCAGAGTGAGTACAGCAGTTGGAGAAATAATATGTGCAATAGAGAGCATGGACAGCGAGGTTCAGCGTATACCCTGGCATCTCTTGTCGATGGAACAGATCGCCGAGTGCTCTGTATCTCTGTTCACACGGTAAAAAGACGGGGAGTGCAGGTGCAGTCCTCATCGTGTATCACACTAAAAATTTGAGGGGAAACCCTCATCTGTAAAGAATTTTGGAGTTTCAAACTCCAGCTTTAAAGAAATAATATTGAAGTTTCTATTTCCTAAGACACAGAATAACTCTTTAGAAGGAACTTCTGAGAACCGATGTTAACCAAAGAGATTTTTAAAAGTTTCGCTTTCACCATCTACTACCCAGCTTTAAAGCATTAAGAGAAGTCTAGAATATTTAAGTGTGTTAGGGAAGGCTGTATTATTTTTTTTTCAAGATGCTGCCTATATTTGAAAAGGTTGTCTAAAAATCTACCAAAAAAGTATATTTTTTCCTTGATTTTTGGCCAAGATGATACGAATTTATTTCTGGGCAGAGTGGTGAGCTCATAACATGGAAAGTAGATAGAGAATATTGTCTGAGATGAGTGTTGTCCTGATGCATAGAGATAAACCCATGAAAATACTTGTCTCATAAAGTAGAACTGATAACAATTATTGCTAGATATAGTGGGAATTTTATAAACTTGTTGCCTTAGAATTCTTGGGTGGAGAGCAACTACAATGACGTGGTTGAGCAAGAGCTACAAGGAGAGAGATGAGTTCAAAGTTTCTAAATGAAGTTCTTAAATATAGCAGCACATGGAGGAGCTCATCCCTAAAAGGTGGACTTTTAGGCAGGAAAAGGAAGATTACCAGAAAGAGTTTTTGTAACTACATCCATGGCAAATATTTATCCTTCATTTTTATCTACCCGGTAGAGAATTATATCCTTTGAACTAAGCTAATAAAAATATTTAAGCTAAGATATTTCACTATTAGAATCAAAAGTTTGGAAACAAACATTTTTATCTGAAACTCTTTTTCTGATCAATTGGAGTAGCTTCACACAGACGCCTCTCTGCAGAGCAGCTCCAGCAGCCTGTGGTTGTTGAGAGATTTCTGCCTTCGCACACAGAGAGAATAAACACCCGTGCCCGAAGAGTGGGATTATTGCACAGGGTGTCACTTTTTGGGAAAACAACAACAACAACAATGTACAAATGAATTATCTTTGAAGTCATTTAAATGTTTTCCAGTTCTCTTTCTCACAGACCATGGGAGTCACGGCTAATACCCCTCAGCTGACTTAGTCTTTAAGGATCTTTAACAAATTGTGTAGGAGCTGGTTTGTCTGCCCTTAATGACCTAGTGGGTCTCTTATTTAACCAGTGGCTGTTGTCCATATGTCTGTTGACACCTCCAAGTAGGGTCCCTAGCAATGTGGAGTAACATGCAATATGTATTCTGGACCTTCTGTTCTCCAGGCTATTGTTTCAAATGCTCTTGGAGAGGAAGCCTGGAAATAGAAAGGGTCCAGAAAGAACCAGCTGGGGACCATGTGTCTGTTATTAACTCTCACAGCGGCTTCTCCTCGTGTGGGACTTGCCAACCCCACGTGCTTCCCAAGGTTCCTGTCAGGCTCAGTGGCGAACATACATAAGAAATCAGTTTGTAGGTTATGTTCCACTTTATACACAGACACTCTTAGCACAAACTAAGACCTAATCAAGAGTCAAAGCCGTCATTTAAACAACTTGTGAATAGAAGTGTCGTAGCAGGGACATAGGTCGTTCTAGTAGGTGGTGTCTCAGAAGCCACCAATGGGTAGTCGACTTGAGGTTACTGTATTTGATTGAAATGTTTAATATATCTCAAATTCCTGGAAAAGACTATGAGTTCTATTTTGTTTTGTATGTCACCTTGTATTTCCTTCAAGGAGTCCAGTTATATTCGAGATTGCGTATTACAACCTGGTCAAAATACTCCTTGTACAAATAGGGCTTTTGTGTCCATGGCCTTGTAAAAGATACTTGTATCTGAAATTATTTAATACAAGTTAGTAATCCCGCTTCACGTGTCAAGAGTAGACGATGTTCTGACGTAACACGGACGTGCTTCCCCCCATCCCGATGGTCTGTCTTCAAGTGATGCCGTCCTTGTTTCTAGGCTAAGCACGTTCGATTTTGTCTGTCGCCTACACAGATCTCTGTTTCGTCTAGTGCTCTGACTGTGAGTTAAAACTTTGAACCTAGGGGTTTTCTTCTCTGTGCCCCTGGATGGACTGCGGTGCCTGACAGATGCTGTTAGGTCGTTATCCTGTTGTACCAAAGTTCCAGTGACTTCAGAAATCATAGCATCCAATGATTTTGTGGTGTCTGGGTGTGAATACTATGGTTGAGAACTGTATTCAGTGATTGTTACTGCACACTTTTCAAATAAAAATGCCAATAATTTTTACCAGTTATTTTGTGTAGTCAGAGCAACTTTATTTCAATGCTGAAGTTCAACATGTGATGGGCTGGGGACAGTAAATGGGTTTAAATGTGAAACGTGCATTGTATTAAAGATGGTATCCACCTTAGGCTAATATAATGTTTTGTCAATTATACCTCAATTAAAAAAGCTAAGCTATCCATTAGGAGGCAGTCAGGTGATTTTATCCACTGCTCTAAACTTTCTCATTTATTATTTATTTAAAGACTGAGTTTAACCCTGGCTGGTGTGGCTCAGTGAATTGAGCACAGGCCTGCAAACCAAGGGGCCCGGGTTTGATTCCCAGTCGGGGTGCATGCTTGGGTTGTGGACCAGGTCCCCAGTAGGGGGCGTGTGAGAGGCAACCACATATTGATGTTTCCCCTCTCTTTTTCTCTCTCCCTTAGCCTCTCTCTAAAAATAAATAAAACTTTTTTCTTTAAAAAGAATGAGTTTTGCAAGGGAAGTTTTCTCATGACTTTAAATGATGTATTTATAAAAGTAGCACTTAACGTGTTGAAGTATTCTACAGCATACCGTATTTTCACGTTATAACCTATGTCTTCCCCATAACAAAATGCTGAGGCACGTGGTGGTAGCTCCCTCAGTCACAGGCTGGCGAACAGACCATTGTTCAAGGCAAGTTCAAGACCACAACTATGCAGCTTCCATTTAAACGCTCATTTACAAGGGCTGCCTTGCTCCCAGAGTTGTTCTCCCTCCATCCGTTACTTAACTAGGTGTTGTTAAGATAATAATGTATTTTTAATTTGAAGATAAAAACAACTCTCCCACTGTAAGCACATATATGCTTGGCCCCATTTTTTCAACTTTCCTCTGTGGTAGCAGTAGTGCTATTTCACACAGGCAGAATCTTTGTCTCTGGCTTCATCTTAAATAATTTGAGATAAATCATTAGTGACTTGCTTTTCCTGATGTTTTATAAGGTTTTTTAAAGATTGTATTTATTTTATTTTTAGAGAGGGGAAGGGAGGGAGAGAGGAAGAGAAACATCAGTGCGTGATTGCCTCTCACACACCCCCTACTGGGGACCGGGCCCACAACCCAGGCATGTGCCCTGACTGGGAATCAAACCAGTGATCCTTTGGTTTGCAGGCCAGTGCTCAGTCCACTGAGCCACACCAGCCAGGGAAGGTTTATAAATAACCATAATGTGCCCTGTATTGAGAAAAAAATAGACCTTCTAAACATTCACTGTCTGGACTGATAGGATTTCTTGTTTTAAAACTGTGTATAAGATATTATTATTCACTGTTCTCATTACCAAGGAATTTTTTTCTTTCTAATTTGGACTGAGTGTGAGCATTGCTGTTCTGTTAGAAACTCATTTAGATGACCTGCATTATGGATTAGGAAACCAACACACCCATTACAATTGGACTCAGGCTATATTACAGGTAGTAGAAACATTTTGTGATAGTAATCAGACCTTTGAAATGATCATAGCTTTGGACCTTTTTCAAAGGTCTCTGAGAGAAAGGCCCGTCTGTACCAAAAGGGTTAAAAAAAGAAAAAGACACAGCACAGCAAGGTTAACAACAGAAGATTTCAATCTGTTTGATGGCTTCCCCAGAGAGACGGACATCAGGAGCTCATCCACGCTCATGGAAAACGTGAAACAGAGGAGAGACCTGAATAGTGCTAGTTAATGTATTAAATACGAACACTCAGCGTCTTGCCCCCAATGCCCAAAGCAGTTTCTTATGAGTCCTCTAGGCAAAGAGGGTAGGTCAAAACGAGACCATGCAACTGAACCTTTAAGAGCACTTTGCTCTTCACTGGCCCTTCCAGAGAACATGGGCTTTCTCAGTAAAGACCAAGGAGGGGACTGGGATACAGATTTCTAAAAGTCATTAGGTTCCCACTGCTCAGACTTCAAAGAACTGGAGGAAAAACTGATTGAATAAAGGAATGATTTACTAAAAAAAAAAGAAAAGAAAAGTAAGTGACCCTGGCTGGTGTGGCTCAGTGGTTGAGTGCTGGCCTGCAAATTAGAGGGTCCCTGGTTTGATTCCCAGTCAGGGCACATGCCTGGGTTGTGGGCCAGGTCCCCAGTAGGGGGTGAGCAAGAGGCAACCACATATTGATGATGTTTCTCTCCCTTTCTCCCTCCCTATCTCTCTAAAAATACATAAAATCTTTAAAAAATATATGAAAGAATATGCTGCATGGGAAATTATTTATAAAATATTGAGGCTTATTGGTCACCTGCCCATCTAGCTTACGTCCTGGCTATTCTGCACACACCTGGCCTATCCATCCTGCAAAGAATGTGCACCTGTTCCTGCTTCCGCCTGGACCTCTCTCCCACCAAATGCCAGCTCCTGCCACCCACTTCCCTTCCCATCTTCGTTTAAATGTTATCTTTAAAGAGAGTTCTTTATTTTTTAAATGCACCAGAAGTGATGCTTTGTAATTTCAGTTCTTCCGCTTTTTTACTTTTATTTTTTAATTAGTTTACTTTCAGTATGATTCTGTATTGGTTTCAGGTGTACAGTATAGTAAGCAAGTTCTTAAAATGACCATCTATTTAAATGACCAATCTATGGTTGCTGTAGTTGCTTTTATCACCTGATTGAAAACTCTGGCCAGAGCCTTTCATCCCTGGTAACTCCGGATCCCTGAGTCCACTTTATTTTTCCTCGCAGTCCACAAACAGCTCTAACTTTATTATTTGTTCCTCATCACTGGGTACATTTATATAAAGGTAGAGATTAAAAAAAATTCCTGTCCACAAGGATGCCTTCCCCCCTCCTCACTGCTATAGCCCTGACCTCTGTCTGGACCAGGGCCTGGCAAATAGGTGGCACTCAGTAAATATTTGTTCCCCCAAAAATAAATGAATCCTGCACAGCAAATTGATTGGGTGGACTGCAAAATAACATTGCTAACTTAAATTTTTACTAGTTTATTGAAGAAAATATTCAAATATTTAAATTGTATCATTTATTAATTTTTGCGAAGACATGTGCCCATGAAAACATTACCATTATCAACACATTGAACATTACTAAGCCAACCTTGCATGCCTAGGACAAACCCTAATTTCCCATATTTCTACTACAATTTTATTTTTTAAAAGATTTTATTTATTTTCAGAGAGACAAGGGAGGGAGAAAGAGAAGGACAGAAACATCGATTGGTTGCCTCTTGATCGCCACCAACGAAGTACCTGGCCAGCAGCCCAGGCATATGCCCTGACAAGGAATCGAACCGGTGAACTTTCAGTTTGGAGGCTGGTGCTCAATCCACTGAGCCACACCAGCCAGGGCTCTACCACAATTTTAAACCCATAAGTATATACTTTAATGACAAAGCAATTAAATTCAACAATTTAAATCTTTGTTTCATCCTTAATATTTCTAGTCAAAAAATAAGAGAAGGGAAGAAAAGAAAGAGAATTACAATGATTATGATTTTACTTGAGGAAATTATCAGTTATTGGTGAATTGGATCCCTACTTTGATATTAAAGGATGCTGTAATAATTTGCCAGTCAGAGGAGTTAAGAATTTTCAAAGTGAAGAGATATGAAAGAATTTTAGAAGTTTGTGTTCTTAATTTCATGATGCTACTTTTTTTTTTTCAAATTTAGAATAAAAACATAATAGATTACTTTTGCCATTGATTTGGATCCAGGGAAAATTAGCAGAAAATCTAGGGAGCTATTTAAATCTTTTTTACTGACAAAAACAATCAGTTTATTATTAATTATATTACCATGAAAGGTCAAATAAAAAGTAGTCAATTCATTTATTCATAGTGATTTTAATGTTAAAAGAAATAAAAAAACTTTTACAAACTATAAGGTTCTGTATTATAAGGTATAAACAATTATTCAAAAGATGTGTCAATTGTTTAAACATTTGTTAATAATAAATTACAACACTACAGGTAATCAAAGTGAAACTAAATTTCCATGTATTCACTTCAAGGCTCACCTCGGACCTTCTTATCCAATATTAGTTACCATAAGTACAATTATTTTGACTCAACTGAACTAGTGTTTCTTTCTGTGTATGTCCTGTGTGCTACTAATAGACTAAGAAAAATTTTTCACTGTCATTTGTTTTATGACTCAGAAATGTTTATTTAAAAGTATTTCAAATGATAAAAGTTGAAATAGTAAGGCTACAGAAAATAATCTACATATGACAAATAAATAATCCTGATGCTACTAAAATAATACTTTTGTGTTTGAAGAGTTCAGATCTTTTTAGGCATCTGAACCTGCTTGTTGGTATAGTCAGAAGGTCCAAAGGCCATTCATTCCAAAGTGAACCTGGATACCCCATGAGAAGGTCCTATCTGTATTTCATCCAACTGTCCTTCTGTATCAAAAGTGAATATAGTTAAACCAACATAAAATCTAACAGTGTCTTTCCATTTTTTACTTTAAAATATATTTTTCTAATGGAAACCACCCATGTGGTTAGCTCAGTTAGATGGGTTCATTCACAAATCTCATATTTACTATAATCCAGCATAATGATTGAAGGGTAAAAGGAACCTACAAAATCTCTGAGTGAAAGGTAAATTTTTCTACTGCACAGCTATGTAACATTGCAAGGGTTACAGTACTCTGGTGAATTTATAAATCCACTACTCCACCTCAATTGTTCATAGCTTTAAATATTTCATAGATAACACTGATATTTCACATTCCACATTGAAAGGCTTTAAGCATCTTTCCTGAGAAAATGTTTGTAGTTGTACACCAGAGAGGATGATCAAAAGGCCAAAAATAATTCAGCCCGTAGGGTGGCTAAGTCTCCCTTTATTCCTTTAGCCAACGAGCATTCTGTCTTCCTGAACGTCACTATTTGCATTTCTCCAAGTCAGAGTTCGGCTCTATGGCAATCATAAATTCCACCTGTAATGAAAGCCTGTATGCAAATTCAAGCACATTTTCACAAAAGCACTGTACACATGATTTGAACTCATGAAGTCCAATTCTTCCCGGCTGCAGACAGCAGCCACTGCTCTTTGAACTCATGACACATGTATTTTTTATGGAGGTATGAGCTAACAACATGACTTGGATAATATAATGACTATGGAAAAAGAAAATTAATCACAAAGTGCATTCCTTTGTACTTATGTGTGTGTGTTGGAGGGGGGTGGTGGTGCCTTTAGCAACCAACTTACAGTCCCTGTTCCTCAGGTGTGGGGAGCTGGCCATGACTTTCAACGTGGGAGGGTTGTGTGTGCTGGAGAATTAGCTAAAAAGAAACTTCCCCTGCTCATAGTCCAGTAGAAAATAACTGTTCCTCTAACAATGGTCAGAAGATGAACTTAAATCATGGTAAGATATTTTTATTATTCAAAAGTCAACTTTGAAACACAACACCCATTCATACACATAAAAACTCTTCCTTCTACTTAAATAAATGGAAGCCATTATGAAAAGGTCAAAGCTGATAACCTTAAACCACTCCCTTCAGCAAAAACCTGCAAAAAAGATTCAGGTTTTTAAAACTTAAAAACAGAATTCATCTTCCATCAGGGTAAGGAACCTGGTTTCTTTACCCATTTATTAAGTTCTGAAGAAAGATTTCCTTCCCTCAAATATGTATTTGTTTGATTTCCTGGAGTGTCATCTTCCTGCAAAGCTATTGATGTATAATGAATTCCATGAAATACTGGCATTGAGCCATTTCGAACATGCAAGTTTCCACTGTGTTTCAAGGAACAAATAAGGCCCACGTAGTGTTCTTTCCCATTCGATCTTCAGCCAGCCAGCTCATTTCCGTAGCCTAACCAACATGAAGTAGGGGGTGTTGCCTTCAGTCTTCAGGTCGCTGTGGAAAAGACCACACAGTTGTCAAGATCAAGCACATTAACCTGTAATGATGTAAATGCTGTACCACCACCATTACCATCCCCGTCACCCTATATGGCCCCATGAGAAGCGACTGCTTTCATCTAAGAGGTGGTGGTTAATTGATGGGCTGTAATTCCCCATGAAATGAAGGAGAATCATATGGTGACAGCCTTAAACTTAATCCACTGAGTTGTACGAGGACAAGAGGGAGGAAGTGTTAGGGGACGTGAGGGTTAGAGCCTGTGTCTAGAGCACCGCACTTGGTGCAGACGCGCCCCAGAGTGACTCGGACACGGGAAACACATCACTGTTCCCTCAGGATGCTGTAATTATGCGGGTTTTACACAGCCTGATCTCCTGTCCTCCCCGTGCACATGTGCACGCACATGTATGTGTATATGTGTGTGTTTTGTTGTTGCTGTCATTGTCGTTGTCTAACATGACCCCCAATCTCCAGCAAGCCACTTCTTCCGGTGTTCAACCCAAGAAACATCTATATGTTCTAATGTTTGAGGAAAAGAAACAAAACTTGTTTTTTTGGTACTTACTGTGACAGATAGCATAGAAACAGATTCTATGAGATTTGCCTAGATCAATTTTTAAATGTACATCTTTGTGCCTTTTAAACTCCAGTCTCTCCCTAGAGTAATAATTCCATTTATGTTGGTGAATCCAGACTTATCAAAACATACTACCACTTACATTCTGAAAGCAGCCAATTCATCATATTTCACTGTGCAAACAGGAGACCTCCCATTGAGATAGGGTATGTGGTGGCATGGCCGTAACAGACGAGGGCTACAAGGCCTATCCCAGAAATAGTAACACCAACCCCACAGGATTTACGGCTGAGCACCTGCAGACCACTAGCTGAATCCCACACGATGACTAGTCTCACCTGGAGTAACCCCGAGTCTCATCATACGCTCATCGTAACACAGTAGCATGCTAGACGACACACCCCGACGGCCACACTCAGAAACAAAATGCCAGTGTAAAAACACAACACGGCCAATGGTGGGGAGCTCTTCCGAAAAGTCTCCATCTGGGAAAAATCCCGATCCTCCCCCTTATTGAATGCTATGCGCCTCGATTCACTGAACCTCAATAAAAGAAGTAGATCCCATTGGGTGGGGGCTGCTCTGCTTGCAGAGTAGCCTTCTCCCCTTCCGGCTTCACTAATAAACTCTCTTCCACTCTAAACTCGAGGCTGCACTAATAAACTTTCACTTTAAACTCTGTGCTGGCTTGAATTTGATTCTCTCCTGCGTGAAGCCAAAAACACACAGTGGGTTGTGGACCCTCGGGTCTCCCACCCCCCAGAATACCGTCATTACCATCACACCATTAACAATGCAATGTCTATCAAAAATCATAAAACGAAGGGCATATTCAGTCCAGTTTCCCTATTTCAATTAGACAATGCTTCCACATGATCTTTCCCAAGTCATAGGAAGAACAGAAATCTTTAAAACTAAAATACCTTTAACTACTAATTAACTGCAGCTGCTCATTAATTAACTTCTGTCTAGCTCCATTCCCTCCAGGGTCGGAACAGTGGATGTCGGCCACGCCACCCCAAGAGGAATGGCGTCTGGTGTGGCCAGAAAAGGGACCACGTATAACCCTGACAAGCTCCAAGGAGGCCTGCGTGGTGGCCTTACAAACTCAGAGGCTGAAAGTAACCCCATAGGATGATGTGAATTGTGCAAATTTAAAACTATTATAACTCAAAGCAAGTCATGGCATGTAGACATGTCCTAGAGCAATAACCTCCTTGACAAAGGTCGATCTTTACCTTAACTTAGCCAGTCTATTTTCTTTTTGCATCTACAGTAGCATGCAATGTTGGAATGTCAGGGTCGGTTCCTTTTCCCAGACCCCCCAGGGCACAATCTCCCATCAGAGCTGGGCATGGAACCCCTCACTGGTCTCTTGTTCTGCATACCAGCTCTTTTTGCTCTAAACATTAATTGTTAACTATCCTGTATCCACCAGTGCAAAAGAGGATTTGTCTCTGTCTTATTCTTTATTCAATGTCAGAGATTTCCCGCTTTGCTTTTGTCCCACCTCCCTAATCTACCACCAGTGAGCTTCACGTAACCCGCTCCCCCTTAGGTCTCCTCCTTTCGTTCTACTGTGTAGCAGGAGCTGCAAAATGGCCATTCTCCGGAGCCTCTTCTCAATCCGTTGAGCTTTTGCTCCCCAGCAACTGTTGTCAGTTTGGCTCATATAAGCTCCAAAATTCTCTACAGAATTTTTGGAGGTTTCTTACATCGACCCTGGTAAGGGAGCAAAAAATTGACCCTCCGCCCTTCCCTCAGAAAGTCCTATTTGCCTTTCTCTCCTAAACTCTTCACCCTCCCCCCTCTCCTACCCCTTGAAGTGACTCCTTCTCTCATTGCTTCTGAAATGTGAGCATTTCACCGCCTCCTTTAATACTGCCGGGCACACTTTCTTTTCTTTATTAGAAGGTGCAGGGCTAGTGGCCAAAATGTTGAGAATGTAGCACCTGGGGCCCAAGGATGTTAAAAGACTTGTTCACACCGGTTTCCTCTCGCGCCTGTGATTACAGATATTCACCAGCAGGAGTCACTGGCGAAGGGGAGCAGGCTTGCGGCAGGGAGTTCTGAAGGCGGAGATGCACCGGCCTGATCTGCTAGCCTGCCACTAATCGCAGTGGTGGATTCCCCAGCACAGGCCTGTGCCGAAGAGGGTTTCGGCAAACGGGCTTCTGTCCTAGAGGGACTGGACTGGGAAATTCAAAAGCTGCTAGAACAGAAAGTTTTTAATCATGTTTTAAATGATTCATGTGATTATAGGCTGTGATTTCTTTTAAGTAATAATTTCACAGAGCATTATGGAAAGGAGATTTGAGAACAGAAGCCTTTTCTTCTTTCTACAACTTGTCACTTCGGATTCTGTGAACACTAGAAAGTGAGCTTGATGGTGCCAACGATCATTTCCATTGCTTTAGTGGGTCATTATCATTGATTGCTCAATTCGCTCATTATTAGGTAATTATTGAAGGCACTTGTCCTTAGCAATGCAGCAAATAAAGGGAAACACAAGAAACTATTCCTCCCCTCTCGACATTACAATCCCTTTGATTTGCGGTACAGATATGACATTTAAATAAATACATGCAATTCATAATTAAAACAGTCATCGATGGCACAGAACACGTGAGCAGTGCAGGGACAAGGACACGAGAGGAGAGGACCTGTTTTGTCTGGAGAAAGTGTTACGGCCCAGATTGAGCTTGTTTTGCAGCAAAGGAGAGGACAAAGATATCTGAATGTATCCCTTTATTTATTCAGTAAGAATGTATATGTTAGTCTTCGAGGATTCAGTGGTGAACAAGATGAACACGGTTCCTAGTCATGAAACACTGAGAAACGGACGGCAAACAAACGATTACATAAGCAGGGATACACTGGAATCTTCCTCCAGTGGGGTTCTTGAAGGTTCAACAGAGGCGCGCAGGTACGTGGGGATAGAATAAAGACTTTACCTTGTAGCCACGGCCTTAGACGCCATTGTCCTAGGAGTTTCAGACCAAAGTGCCACTTTGGTTTTTAGTTCTTTATTCTAAAGTTGAAAAAAAAATATGCAGAGATCACATAGCTAGCACCTGCATCAGCCACACATGCTTATTGCTTCTGGTCAACCCTGCGTCACTCCCTGGCAGCAAGCGCGCTATTCCGGCCCTTCCATCAGAACATGGAACGTGGCCAGTCGAGAGTCACTGATGCCTATGAAGTCACACACTCCCTAGCTGTGTGACCTCATTCAGTCACTTAACCTCCCTGTGCCCAATTTCTTCACCTGTGTAATAGATACCATCATAGTCTCTTCTTCACAGGTACTAAAATGAGATAAAAAATATGTAAGGAACTCAGCTCAGTATCTGGTTTTTAAAACTTAAAGGCAGTTGGTTATGAAATGGGCTGAGTGATTGCCCACTGATGGTGTGTTTGCATGATTTTCTTATTCTAGCTGCTTATCCATATGCCCTAATTTGTGTGGAATGAATGAGTATGTTAGTTATGCAAAATTGGTACAATAAAAATATTTTATCAACTAGGATTTGCCAAAAGGCCAGTCAGTGAGAAAAGCTGTGAGAAAATGCCTTTAGGGACATTTCTTAGAAGGAAGAGGCCCAATGGTGACACGGGTCACACCCTCTGAGGCCTCCAATGTATGAGCTGGGCAGCCCTTACTGGGCACCAGAGTGGACACGAGTGCGGAGCCAACTACTCCACAATCAGCGTTTTCAGCTGGACACAGCTGTGAGCGTGGTGTTTATCGAGGGAACAGGCCCGTGCAACCCACCGAAGGTGAGACTCCAAGGAAAGCCTGAGGCTGGAAGAGTTCACCCTCCAGAGGAAAGACAACAGTGTCCTCTGGGAGGGGAGAAGGGGCAGAACAGGGCAATGGCTACAAAATTTACAATGTAAAACTATTTACAACCTCTCTCTCTGTTCTTATGATTTTTTTCTTCTGATGGGGGAAGCGGAAAGGACACAGCGGTGAAAGGGATGGTGTGGGGCGAGCTGGCAGCGTGCTCATGGGGCCCCCCTGAGGTCCATGCGGGGACCAGCAGAGCCCCCAGAGAGGCTGAGGTCTGCAGCGGAAGTCAGAGCATCTCCGTCCTCCCCGGCACAGGGCAGCGTGGGGGCAACAGCGCGCAGGAAGTGGATATGCTGGGGGCTGACGTGCAAAAGGTGACCAGGCCCAGGCAGTCAGTGGCCAGCCACTGGACAGAGACAGGAGGGGCGGCCCTGAGCAGGAAGTGGAGCTGAGGCTGCTGTGGGGCCTGCAGGGACCCCGGCCTCAGTGGGGGCTTTGCTGCACTTCCTGTAAGGCAGGGGCACTGCCAGCCCCTGGGGCAGCAGCTGAAAAACTAAAAAGAGCTTCCCCCCCATTAAGGGGGAAGAGTGGGCAGATAGAAAAACATGTCTCATCCCAGTAAATTATAAAGTCTTATGCTAAGTTTTAAAACACTGAAAAACAAGAAAACAACAAGAGGCTTCTTGAAGTGAGTGAGCCCGGAGGCAAAGCTTGGAGGAAGGGAGAGGATACCTCAGTGAGGGAAAAAAACAGACTGGAGACAGAAACCGGGCTACCTGACCAGCACTAAATGCACACAGGTGTGGCTTTGACCTAGCTCCTAATTCCAGTCCATGTCATCTCCCTCCCCAAGACAGCAAGTGTTCTGGAGAATGAGGATGCACTTTTAACAATTATTTGTTAATATTTAATATTCATAATTCAATAACATCATAAAATGTTTAATATTGACACTTTAATAATGATTCAGACAGAGCACCTGTCCCCAAAGCTATAATTTCTTATGCATCAAGAGGCACAAACACACACTTACAGAAAACATTCATATATAAACACAGACACGCACATGCACTCACAGATAAACACTCAGGCATGGTCACACACACTCATGCACAGACGCGCTCACACACTATGCACACACAGACACACTCAAACAGTGTCACCATGCGGACCATCACGCACGAGCACACACACAGACATTCACACACAGGCTCACAGATACACTGACACACTCACATAGTCACATTCACGCTAACATAGGCAACAGATTCTCTGCTTACCTGGGCTTCCAGCACATTAACTTTTTCTTTCAGGTTTTCAATTCTTTTATCTTGCTCCTTTAAATTATTTTTTAAGCCTTCCATCTAAGTATTAGAAAACACAGTTGGAAAACTCTTGTCAGACCAAAGGGAATGGTTACTTAAATCAGAAACTGTGCAGATTTCTGCGGTCATATCATGTTGATCCAACAGAAAAAAATTAAATCCCAAAGCCTAGGAGACTCAGCAGGCCAAAAAGAAGAGCAGGGCAGATTGGCGCCTGGGGATAGGCGCGTGCAGAGAGTACTGTGAAACATTTTAATCTTTGGGAAACCTGTTTAGACCAAATGAGCAGGAGTGCCTCGGTGGAAAGCAGGATTGCTCATCCTTTTATGTCTCAGCCACATAACATTTTCATCCTGCAGATACAGAGGCCAATGGACAAGATGCAAGGCCACTGCCCGGCATGGGGAAGCAACCCAGGCAGACAGCTGGTCAACCAGCGACATGATATGGCGAGCCTGCTTCACTTGGGAAGAAAAGCATCAGCCAAGAGGCAACGTGGAGCCCGGGAGGTGGATACAGTTCAGAAAGGTGCAGGGAGAGAGGAAACATGTAGATGCTACGGCCAGCTCTGCCACCAGCAGCTCTGTCATTTAACTACTGTGGGCCTCAGTTTTCTCCTCTGTCAAATGAGGACACGGGATGCCCCCTAAGTCCTTTCCATGAGTCAATTCTCGTGGGGAGGCCCTAGCCCAGCAAGCGCAAGTGCTATGTCAGGAAGGTGTTTGAGTTATTTAAAAAGATTCCTTTTGGGAACAACTATTAGGCAGTAAAAAAAAATGACAGTCGGATTTTAAGTCTAAAGCAGAACTCCCAAACCAGATTGACACACATCTTGGCATAAACAGTTTGAGTGCACAATCCACCATCCATCCAGCTGTTAATACAATGATTTCTTTTCTTGTCAGGACGCTCCCAGAAAAGACGGGCCAGAGGACACCCCTGTCCTAACACTCCTCCTCAGTCAATTTCCAGGAAACTGATGAAGAAACTTAAGGCTGAGTCTCCAAATCGACAAAATCCTCTAAATGAATCGTGCCCACTATCTGGCTGAGGACACTCTTTAAAAGTCACGGGGACATCTGAAGAGCAGTGAGACAGTTTCCCCAGCTCCTGCACTGCGAACACTCCAGGTGTCAGCATGACAGACACAAGAGGGCTTTGGAAATAGCCCTGTTGGATGGGAATTCAAAGGAACTGTCTGTGGGGAGGAGGACCTCGCTGCTCGCCAAGCCCAGGCTAGCCGCCTATACTTGGCCTTCTGGCTGCAACCCGACCATCTACCAGAGAACCTGACCTCCTGGATGACTCTGCGCAGGTTCTGGTGCTGGGAGTGAATCACGAACTGCAGATGCGAGATCTGCTCCTGGAGAAGGGAGATCTCCTTCTGAAGATCCTGGCAACTGGAAAGGCAAAGGAAAAACGAGAGTAAAACACTCACTAATGCATCATATGCTGTTTTTGTTTGTTTGTTTTGCTTTGTTTTTATAGTGGCGCCACCAGGTTCTCGTCACTCGCTACCCTGCTACAGGGCATCCTGTGAGTAAGATGCCCAGGGCCCCACATGCCGCACAACACACACTGAAGACAAACAGCCACGAGGCAGCCTCTGATTAGCTCCGATGTAACTTGAATGTCAATTCATGTCAAAAGCTCCTTTCTGGCTGCTTGGGACTCTCCTTCCACCAGCAGGTAGTTGAGCCAAATTGTACTGAGCCAGGCGAAGCACTTGCATGTCTAATCTGCCTTGACTGTGAACACCCACAGACCCAGCACCCGTCAGAATGCACAGAATTTAGGGGGGACAGCAGGGTCAGAACATGGGAATGGGGATGGAGACTTTACATATATATCAGAACCGATGTCCAATGATACAGAGTTGGCATATATTATTATGAAATGCCTGTGTTTGCCTTTTTATTTTTTTGGCTTCCTACTTTTGGTAATTCTGCTACCTGAAAGTAGGGCAAAGGGAAAAAAGGGGAGGGAATTAAATTCCAGATAATATTTTTAGTGTACAGCAGCCACTGAGAGAAAAGATGGGTGAAGTTTGAATTTGGGTTATTCATACTTGCCTAATATTCTGTTTAGGTAACGAAAGTTGATTGTGTGGCTTTTGAATATTTCTCTTCTCATCAATATTATTTGAGTGATGAGGCAACACGCATGGCAACAAGACCTCCACACCTGGGAGCACTAAGACTTCGAAGTCACACACATTTCTAAACCTCAGTATAACAGGTATAAGAATTCCTACCTCTTCTACTTTACAAAATTGTACTATGTAGACATAAAAGGTAACGTGAATGTACTGTTGGAAAATGAGCTCTTTACAAAGTAATACATTAATATTATTTTCACTTATTAAGGTTTTACAGTTAGTTGCCAGCATCCAATGCAATCACAATTCGATTTTCATAGCCTCTCAAATATTACAAAGGTCATGGAAATCCACGTGACTCTACTGAGCATGTTCTCATTAGAAAAAAATAAAGTCTCCATTTGTCTCACATCATGCACTAAAAATTGCTTCTCAGACTTAATATGCATCAAGGATCTTATTAAATCATTGGGCATCTTGTTAAAATGCATATTCTGACCCAGGAGGCAGGGGTAGGGCTGGAGACTCTGCATTCCCAGCATGCTCCGGGTGCTGCCAATGATTCTGCTGGTCTGCAGACCACACCCCCAGTGCTCTGAGTGACACAGCACTAAACCCCGGAGTTGTCTCCATAGCTTTAGTAACGCACATGGCCAACTTGCAATATTGAAGTCTTTTAACTCTTTTCCTCTTTTGGTTTTGCATGAGGAGGCTTTAAAAAGAGTTTGTTTTACTGTAGAAAAACATTAATTTCTATAAAACCATAGAAATCCTTGCATAAGTACAAATGATATATGATAGCCATTACAATTTATCCTATGAAATTAAATAAATTATACTATAAAAACACTGTATGATAACATAATACATATGTCACAAAATACATGTAAAATATAGCTCATTATTGATCACAGCCTAAAAAGTTAAAACAATCTAATGATATCAGTAGAAGACTGATTAAGCAAATTATGCTATGCCTATGCCACTTTTATCTTACATATCTCTATATATCACAGAGATAGGCTGATAGACTTGATTTATATCAAAGATGATTTTGCAGAATGTAATAAAAAGAACAGTCTTTTCACAAATGGTACTGAAACAACTGGATATTCATATAAAAAAGGAAAAAATGATCTTTTCCTCACCACATAATAAGGAAAAATCCCCTGTAGATTGTGAATACAATCGGGGATGCAAAGACTTTCAGAAGACAATGCAGAAGAACATCTTCGTGAATTTGGAATAAAGAGTTTTTTTTAAAGGCAGAAATAAAGCAGTATTAACCACAAAGGGAAATATTGATAAGTTTGACCAGACAGAATTAAAAACTTCTAGTCATCAAATAAGCGTGAGTGGGAGAACCTCAGAACACTGGTAATACCAATGACTGATAAAGACACAGCACCCATAATACACACGGAACATCTATAAACCAGCAAAACAGTCATCCCAGTAGAAAAATTAGAAATTGACGTGAAGAAACGCTTCACAACAAAGATGAACTGAAGACCCGAGGATCAAAACAGCGCAGAAAGCCAACAGAAATGTGACCCGCGGCGGGAGCCGAGACTAGTCACTGCCCCGGGAGGAGGGAAAGGAAGAAAGGAGTGCAGACTCAGAGCTTCTCCGGGGATAATGAGAAAGAACTCAGAGTGCTTTGCCGAGGCAGGCCAGCTCGGAAATATTCACAACATGTTCTTAAATTCATAAATTGATAAAAAATAAAAATTTCACAAAAATGTTAAAGGCAGGTATCCAAAATGATCTCACTGTGTCCTGTGACGACCCAGCACTTGAGAACCAAAGGGAAATACGTGGTTTTAGGATAGTGGGGCAGGGAAAGGGGTAGATATTATGCTCCTCAAATACAAAGCTCAGGAAATTTCCCTGTGTATTCCATGAGAGTATTACCCTAAAAGTCACCACAAATAAGTGAAAACCTGAAACAGGTCTCAGGATGGGAGAGAGGTATTTGTAGAAGCCCCCTTGAAAACACGGGGCTCTCAGACTTAGCTGGGTTAGTATACTAGACAGTGACTAGAGGAAGTGGCAGAAAATCTCTCTGAGGATTGTTGAATAAACATGAAACCTCATCATCCATTTACGGCCTCTGAATATGAGATTGGACCTCAATAAGCTGCTATTAGAGCTCCCTTTAATCTTTGCCATTTATCTTTCAGTGAAAGCACTTGGTCTTAACAAAGAAGTACTAAAGAGAACGGCTGGCAGAAAATGCAACAAGGGCCAGGCCTGGAAGAGAACAAGCTCTTCTAACAAAGGTCTTTATCTAGAATTCGTGCTTTGTCTCGTAAAGTAAATGTTGAAATTAAGATAGAATCGAGCGGCTTCTTCCAAGAAGATGTAAAAGATGTATTTTTTCCCTATGATTCCCATGAACATGAAGATGATATCTAAACAGACAAAAGAAGACTCTGGAAAGTGGCGAGGAGAAGGGAGACTAGCCTGGGGTCTTGGAATCCAAGAACAACACAATGGTGACTTCCCCGAGATTTCTGTTTGCCTCACAGTTTCCAGACTTGGAGCTGAAAAAGTCCAAAGCCTGGAAATACCCTTGCAGCAGACAAAAAAATCTGCTTCCCCCGCCTCCAAAGAGGAAAATCTTGGCCTTCCAAAGAAAGGACTGAGGGTCCTGTCTTCCTTCTGTCCTCAGGGAGAGTGAACAGGGCCCTATTACTGGAATTCTTCCTGTTAGAGTCCTTAGCGTTCAAGAAGGAACATCAATCCTATCTTTACTTGCAGAAATGTGCAAACGAGTGGCTTCACCTGTAGCTAGTAACGCGGGAAGATCATGGAGCCTGTACCTGGCAAGAGGCATACACTCGATCCCTCTGCTGGCCAATGGCAGGCAAAGATCTGATCACAGGAGACTGTCCGCAGAGGACTGTCTCTCCATCCACTCGTCAGGACACTTTACAACCTACCTTTGGGCTAACTGGTACCATCAGAGGGTAGCTTTACCAGCCTGGCCACACTGCCCGCTGTCCCTCAGTTGTATATGACTTTGATGGGCATTGTGCAATCCTTTTCCAAAGGGTTTCCCGAGGTGTAGCTTCCGTGTGTATTATAAGGATTCGGTGGAAGACATTCTTCAGGGCTCTCGTTATGAGCATAACCGGGACAATTTGTTCTCTGGCCTTACAGATATATTAAAAAGAACTGGACTTCTCCCAAAGAACTGACTGTCTTTAGTCAAATGGACATTGTAAACCATGGAACTAGTCGTAATTTCTTCTTCGCACTGCCTGCCAGAAAATGTAAAACTGAGCGGTTGACTTAGACTTAGCAGGTACATGGCACCTCATGGTAGAGTTCTGTGGGCCAGCCTCGTGATGTGCCTGTTCTTCTCTCTTCCTGACTTCATCTTCTAACTTCTTTTCCATTTAATGAATCATGTTATACTTTATGGAGTTTTAATAAACAACCTTACATTTTCTGAGCACTCTGAGGACATAAAGATGGCATTATAAAGGGGAGGGACAGCATGAGGATGGCCATACTCACACAATCCCGGAACACAGCCCTTTCCAGTGTTCACAGAGTGCACTTGTTACCAGGGATTATTGCATTATGATGTTTACAGGAATGAAAATTCCAGAAGAAATGAAAAGGGGTAGGTACGGAGGTACAAGAACACCATGAAAGCAGCAGTGGAACTGTGTGGCTGTCCTAAGATGCTACTGCTTCTATGTACATTAGGCCTTCCCCTGGCATCGGGAATATGACTGACTCTCCATGGAATCCCCTCTTAGGAGAGAAGACAGTGAGGTTGGTCACATCCTAGCGTGTCTGTGAAGCTATACGAGAATCTTCTAGAGTCTACAGTGACTCAGATGGCCTGCTCTTTAGGATCTAATGTTTATTGGTGTGTTATGGTGGCTGTCACTGAATGTGAGGGCCCAGTGGAAGAGGGGGAAACTGAGGATTAGAACCACAAGATCAAGGTGGAAGAATAAGCTAAGACGTAGGTGTAGTTGTGTTCACACTTCAACAGAACTCAAGAATATGCATTCTTACCACCTGTCAGAATCTCCTCCATTGTTATTTTCAGTAATAACAATGGCCCCTAAATGGAGGGCTTGAGAGAGCTATCGGAGCTATCACAGGTAAACATACAATTTAAATAAATAATAACCATGTGCTTTGACATGCAACCTCAGCTTCAAGACACCCTTTTCTCCCCTCTAAGGAGTTTGCTATCCTTAAAAATATATATGGAGGACCCAACACGAGTTACAAACATCGAAGGTGTTTCCCCAGAGGATACCCACACAGTGGGCCTATGTGTTTGTCACAGAGCAGAGGGATAAGGGGAAGACTGCCTTCTGCTGGTAGTCACACAGGGGACCGAGGAAACCAGTCCGAGAAAGGTCTCCAGAGGTCTCCAGAAATGAGACAAAGACAGCCAGGTCTTTTCTGTCGCAGAGCAAGCCCAGGCTCTGCGATGGCAGTCAGAGGGCCAGGCTGCGCGATCTTCACAAGTCACCTAACCAGTGTGAAGCTCTGTTCCCTTCCTGAAGGGTCGATGGAAGGATCAAATTAAATAAGGAACCCAGAGTTACGCTGTCAACTGAAAGGCACTCTACATGTGCCAGTTAGCGGTGGTGGGAACTGTGAGGATTAGCATAATACGTTATGATAAATACATATCCATATGCAAGAAAGAAACCTGCCATGTTCTTCTGAATTCAAAAGTTGAGTTATATCACTCCTCAGAGGTGCTTTTTAACATTAGAAGCGTCAGGTTAGAACCTACTGAATCCTTTCATCAAAATGGCAGAATGAAGCCAACGCCACTGGAGAAAGTCGTGACGCCTGCCAAACCCACCATCTCCGCCCAAGGGAGACTGGGTGGCAGTGCCCACCGCCCCTGCTGGGGACGCAGGAGAGGACGCCCACGGGATTGGGTGTGTGTCCCTGCCCAAGGCTATTGGTTGTTCAACCTGATCGACCCACCCAGTCCAGGAAGGAGTGTGAGGCCCATCTCTTTCTCTGGAATCTGAAAGGAAAGCACAGAGACTACAAACCAGCTGGTGGAAATGGGGGGGAAGTTAATGAACCACAGAGGAAGAACAAGAGAAGAGCGAAACTGCGCATGCCCGTGACTGAACAGGAACAGCAAATACTCTGGCTTCTAAAAACCGAATGGGGGGCCACAGGGCAGCCCCCGTGCTCCCAGAGTCACAAGCTCTTTATGGCCCCATCTCTCCAGGCTGAACCTAGCAGAGTCACCTTCAGGTGTGGTGGCTTAACCAAGGCCCTGCCGCTTGGACCAGAAGAGGCTGATTCACACTGATTTCATGGCCTTATCTCTTAGAGAAGTGACTACCAGCTCAGAAAAAGCAGTAAGATGAATACCTGCGATACTCACAAATCTGTGGAAGTTGCCTAAGCCTGGATGTTCAAATGCTATTTTGTAAACACAAAACACCCATCTCCCTCAAGATATTTCTAAAACCTCTTTAAGAACTTTTGGAGAATTCTTCATAACCATTGCTCCCATATGATAGAACAGGAAGAATAGATCAGTTTGGTTTCAAAATGGCTACAGTATTTTGGCTCAAAGACTAATAAAATCCTATTATCACTTTAAAAAATCATGTTTTTAAAGAAAAAATCAAACTCAGACTGTCTGGACTCTTAATGGAAGGCTCACTGTACCAGCCTGGAGTTTTATAGTGTGAAAGTCTTCTATTTAAGAAAAAAAAATAACGTACGTGAAAGATTTACTTAGAATTAAGTTATATGTAGGTAATTCTAAAGACCTATGGGTGTCTTCCCCAGCATTTCCTTCATCCCCTACAGAAATGTGCAGCGCTATGGAACTCGTAGGAGTTCACCCTCTGGGGCTGTCCTCAACCTTCAGAGGGATTGACCTGCCCACCAGTTTCCCCACGTTCCTGTGAACCCCGCCCCTCCCCCCTTCCTCAGTGGGTGGGGAAGGGGAGGCACACAACTGTTAATGCTAAGAATTCTCCCCATCCCTGTACTTACAGGCCTTCTGTACCCGTGCAGAGAAAAGATACCAGGAACTGCCATTACTTAGAGGTAGAACCACAAACCTTTTCGCATGCGTAGTGCTGGATTTGAGGTGCATCAGCTTGTTTTCCAAAGACAGTTTTCTTTCTAGCAGTGTGCTCTTTTCCTAGGAGAAAATAAGATACAATTTTTGCTTATTCGTTTCTTTCTTTCTCTCTCCTCTCCCCTCCCATCCTCTCCTCTCTCCTCTCCTTTCTCCTTCTCTCTCTCAATATGTGTGTATGTGGTAAGACATTCCTGCAAACTGTTCACAAAAGATGCTCCTTGCCATCACAGAAATATGGCTTCAGCTAAAGAGGTAACTTTATGCGGGGCTATTACAACCGGCCCCAGTAAGGCCTCCCCTGTGTAGTTTCCATGTAGCTCAACGTCAGATTGTCTTCGCCGGCCATCTTTACTCTCCTCACCTGCCCGGACTGCTTTTGCTCTTCCTCCAGTGCACTGCTGACACAGGGCCCGCTCAGCGAAAGGTCCCCTGCCTCTCTCCATCCCACCCCAAACTCGACCCCCCGCCCCCGCTGCCATGCACCTCTCTGCACTGGCTCTCCCGCCACTGCAGGCGGTTCCCCTTAGACTGGGTTCTCGGGATCCAAGGACACTATTGCCCTCAACATGATGCCTACCTGCTCACACAGTAGAAAAGTGGTAGCTACATTTTTAGTGAAGGGTCAAGGTCACAAATGATAAAGTCTCTTCCTAATTAGGACGTAAGAGAAATGACACTGAGAAAGAATAAGCCTTAATGTCATTATCAAGCCAAACTCTTTCCATCCCAAAGGAAAAGAGACTCTTCCACGAGAAACCAAACTGGGATGACTGTGTTCTTGTTTATATTTGATGGTAAAAAAAATTATTTTATATTGCAGTTTAACTTCATTCCTGTTGCAGTGTTCCTGTAGGTGGAATACAAGGCAAGGCTGCGCAGCCAAAACATTGGGACAACCCTGGACAAGTACCGAGCCGGTTTGGAAACTCTGTGTCTGTACGCTTTCTGCCAAAGCTTTCATCACTGTGGGCCTTCTTGCTGTTAGTGAAAAGCAACCCAAACTTAGAAATCAAAGTAATACACAGCATGTGGTTTTAATGTCACATTGGGTCACTGTTTAATAATCCAACCCGGGATTATTTAATGCTCTTGGAGCATTGCCCTGCGTCTGATTTTTATTATTTATTATTTGATTAGAGCCAAGGCTCTGAAGTTGAGTGTTAATTTATAGATGTCTGTCGCTTTGAAAAGACAATCCCAAAGGTTATGGATTAATTGCCTTCAGGCATGTTAACCAGCGAGGGATCTAACCTGGTAACCCTATCCTATGTCCCTCTTTTCAATATGGCACGTAGGCTGCTTAGTGAAATGTCTCCGGCCTCCCTCCACCCCCCTGCAAATGCAACCCCTCTGGTCCTCTCTCCCTGGGCACTGTTTCTCAAAATAGTGCATTTACATCAGTTTTACCATTTTACTGGTTCCCTCATGAATTCATGATTTGAACAGCTGACATGTATTTATTCTATATTTGCATGAGTCATGTTTTTGACTCTTGGGACATGAATAAGATGGGAATACAACTCCTACACTGAAAGCTGGGAGGACTGAAGATAATATATGTGGAAGGCCTGCAGACTTATCTGGAACATATTAGGATCTCAATATATGAAAGTTTGAAGGTACCAAGCATGTCATATCTTATGTGCTGTTACTTTTAACATTTATACTTTTTCAAAACTTGTTCTGTAGCGTGATTGTCACATAATAGGAGTTCTTCCAGGATAGCCCTAGTTGTGGTCAAATTATTTCTGAGGGATCACAGATATATGCCTTGTAAGCTTATTATGGAAACACATCACCGATATTGTATTTTGAATTTGTAAGGAGGAAAATGGTGTTGAACAAGCATCCTTCTTAATGGACTTACTCTTGAGTGGTGGATCTTTAGAACCATGGTGCAAGCAGGCTGGAAAGTTGGACATGTCAGTGTTCTGCCTTGCTGGGGGGTCTGAACGCTTCCTCTTTGGCAACACAGAAAATCACGCTAGACCAGTGTCTCAGGGACATTGCCTTCTAGGAAGGTAAAGGGGTTCACAGCGCCACCCAGTGGGCAATGCATTCTTCCCAAACCACACCTCTGGGGAGCGGAAGCATCCCTGGCCCTACTGATCAGAACAGGGCAGACACCAATTCAAATCAAGGCCGAATGTTAACATGTCAATGACTTAGGCACCGAGGATGCCATTTTTATCCAGCATCAAAGAAGATAGGGGAATAATGGAAAGGATTGTAAACTGGCAACTGGCGACTATGGAGCGGGTCATTGTTCGCCCTGTCCTCATTTATACAATGATGATGGGGAACTAGGCAATTTCAAAAGCGCCATTGAGCTCCAAAAGTCTAATAGGGCTAAATCAATGACACTAGAAAACAAATACGATGCAACTGAATTGCACTGCTTGCAAAAGGAACATATGCCGTATTAAAAAGGCTCTTACTGGGCGTTTTTGCTGGCTTATCGCTGTGTTTATGGAATTCATTCTCGCCGCATTCCTGATTGAAGTGGGACAGATGGTGAAGGTTTAAGTAATGTGTTCATTACCAGACCTCATGCCACTAATGGCTATTTACTGGTGAGTAGAAAATGAATCCTTCTCCAGGGGGACACCCGCTACCAGGGCCGTATTCATCAACCTTTGTTGTGTGTGTTCATTTTTTAATTTTTGTTTCCTTGTTGAACTCTTGTCTTCTTCCTATCAGCACAAAAGTCTCAGCACCCCCTTCCCTCCGTCTGACACTCGCTCTGCACCAGAGAAAACCTTCATCACAGCCTATAGTCTCAGAATCTCCTTAAACCACGAGGCTGTTGCCCCGCCTTGCATCTTAAAGTTTCATTTATTTGCATCTTTGTTTTATAAACATAAAGTACCTTTGAACTAAATGTCTTTTTTTAAGATTTTATTTATTTATTTATTTAGAGAGGGAAGGGAGGGAGAAAGAAAGAGAGAAACACCAATGTGCGGTTGCTGGGGGCCGTGGCCTGCGATCCAGGCATGTGCCCTGACTGGGAATTGAACCTGTGACACTTTGGTTCGCAGCCCGCGCTTGAACTAAATATCTTTTTTAAAAATTTCTGCACATTGCCCTTCCACTCCCCCCCACCTATCCCTGCCTCCCAGATATCCCAACAGACTGCACTCTAAGAAATCACTGAACCAGACCTCTGGAAGGTGACTTCAAGACCTTGCTGAACCGTGGAGCACCTTGTCCGCTCACCCTGTCACAGCGCTCCTAGAGATGGCCCACCATGATGGGTCAATAGCAAGACAAATGCTCGCTCACCGCTTGTCAAAAGAAAATCTGCTAGTATCCGAGCCACCTCATCTTTGCTGGGGTACCTCCCCTATCTTCAGGAGAGCGGCAGCATCCCTAAGCAGCCCTAGGGTATCCCAACTTTCTGGCATCGACTCAGATGAAGTAAGGATTCCCTGGGGTTTCTAAGAAATAAAATGTGTATTCCACTGTTCTTTTGTTAATATTCGGGGGGGGGGGGGGGTCTCCAGCTGGCTGCAAACGGACCCAGGGTTGCTGGATTGAGGTGACCGGAGTCTCCATTTAAATGTCAAACCGGCTAATCAAGCTGTTTGGTTAAACAGCTCTATTTGCATTCCAGAACTGTCTTTCTTTCCTAAGGCAAGCATTCTTGGTGCGTCTTAGTTGGTTCAAGTATTTATGACGTGATAAATATTTTAACACTACAGAATAGTCATCCAAATATTGCAACTTCTCCAAAACATCATAACCGTAAACAGTCACACTTGAGCACATTCTAGCCCAGTGGCTCTAGCTCAAGTATACCGCTCAGCGACCCACTGCACAACACAGATGGGCCTGTATGGTATTGTTGTTAGATTCAGTTAAGGTTGGGCTTATTTAATTTCCATGATTTACTCATAAGACCTTCACTAAGATGACAAATTTAGCCAGACACACCGTGTTATCAATTAAATTCTTGAGACACATTTAAAAATCAATCAAGACATGTGGACACTGAATTGGGATGTTTTTGAAGTGGCTTTTTCTGAAATGGTGCCGACTCAGGAAGACTCATAAAATAAAGCAAGGCGGAGAAGAACAGAGGCAAATCAAGGGATTATTATAATAAGTATTAAAAATTTCCTAGAAAATATTTACTAGAAGCCAGTGTCTATGTTCTTACCTACCTTCAAGTCAGATTCAGAGATGCCAATTTTCTATGAGTCTGTTTTGCTACTAGTAAAAAAAAAAACAGTATATCTTGATTTGTCTGAATTCTAACTTTTAAGGCAAGTATTATTAAATTTAGGTGGTCCCTTTTCATATAGATTTGGAGTAAGAGCTACTTGAATTTAGGAACACTGCAATAGCTTTTAATATATGTCTTTCCCATTATTATTGAATACATCCTGTATTCAATCCTCTAAATCCTGTTTTGAAAGTTCCAATTTTAAGGAATGTCTTTTCTGATGTGAACTCTCTCTGCCCTGGTTAAGCCACAGCCTTTCACAAACCCAAAGTGGGCACGGGTGGCCCGAGGTGGGCACCCGGTTGACTCTAACACATGAAAGCGCTGTGACTACAGGGATCCACCCACTAGATCATGATGAGGAACAGCCAGACTCTGTGGTCATCTCCTCTGTCTCCATTCACAGCCTCTCCTGGCTCCCCTTTCTCAATCGCACATGTATTTATTAAAAGGAGAAAGTGACAGGTAGTGATGACATCAGCATTTGTACTTGTGAAGGTCAATTCCCATCAGTACAGAACATATGCTATGTGTCAGGAAAGGAATTATTAACATCCCTGAGTACTTCCTAAAGTTTTAAGAGTTGCAAAAAGAACTTCTCCTTCGTGTTACCTTATTTATTTCAGTGTTTTTGTTGTTTTTTTTAATTGCAGGAAGAAATCCCTTTTGTTCTCCCGGCCTTACCTTTTCCATCCTCTGAACAAGGTTCTCCAATGCTGTGATTTGATTATGCTTTTCTTCAAGTTTTTCTGCAGCTTGGTTCAGACTTTCAAGCTGTTGTTTCAATTCCTGTTCTTTTTCCAGTTTGTTAACCTGTGGTCAGAAAAACAGTTGTCAGTCTATGAATTTATTAAACCTGTACAGATATTATCTTCTTCTATAATTTTCTGAGTAACCCCCAAAATGAATAATTCACACTTGTTGTAGAATTTCTTTCTGAATTCAGTGTTTACTTCCAAGTAAACCTGGTGGACTACACACACCATCAGTTTAATGGATAATATATAAATTTTATCCCTAGAATATTTACATTTGTCGCCATAAAGCACTCTAGCTGGCCTAGTATGAGAGAGAGACGTGGATTTAAGAAAAGCAACATTTTTTACCTTTTCTTCACAAAACTTGTCTAGAACAAACATAAAATCTTGTATGTTTCAGAAAAAAAAATGTTTTACTTTTAATCCAAAGGGCCATAAAAGCAGAATAATTATCTCTGCTGTGTACAGGCCGGAAGCAATTGTGCCGAGACCAGCCTCACCGGCAGCCCACGGCCACATCTGGGCCTGTTTCAGCTGACTTCTAAGTGACACGCACACTCACATCTGGGTGTGCATTTAAGAATTTGAGCGTACATGCGTCTGGCTTCCCTTGAAACAGCAGGTGGGCATCCCTGCCAGGCAACCCCAGGCCGGGGCTGAGCCCCCTGGGCAGCCCATGGGCACCCCAGTCGTCCCCCAGGCTCCCCGCTCACACAGCCCCGGGCTCCCCACCAGCCTGCTCACTTCCCTCAGGCGCCTTATGGCGCCCGGCATGCCCGGGAGTCTGTGACCAGAGCTCCCGCAGATGTAGCAGGAAGGCCGATTTCCCACTGTGCTCCCCACTGCGTTTTTGTAGGGCTGAGCTGGCGGAGACCCAGGCACCCCAGCCCAGCACGGATGGGCTTCCCAATTTGGTGCACACACACGCACGTTTGTTTCTTTTCCAGTCCTAGAATACATTCTTCAGATACACATTTATTGGCCCTAGGATATATACTTCAAATTTAAAAACAAACAAAATATATGTGTATGTCTATGTATTATAGACAGGTATATATAAGTGTGGATATACAGGTATACATGCATATGTCTAGACATACACATATATACCTGTATATCCACACTTATGTTTTTATATTGTAATTTATATGTTAAAATATGAAAGGTACCATTTTAATATATGTTAAAGTAGGTATGTTACATGCACACGTGTTTTTTGTTAGTTAAATCTGAGAGATGTATTCTAGGGAGAAATATATTTAGAAGCCGTATTTATCTAGCCCAACTCTTTCATTCTAAACACAAGGAAATCCAGGTCCAGTGAGGTGGAGCAATGCCACCTCGGGCAGCTGGCCAGTCAAAGGCAGAAGCAGAAGAGAAGGCACTGGCCGGAGACCCCCGGGACAGCCCTGACTTCTAGGCAGGGTGGCCTGGCCCACTTGCCGCCTGTGCTCGGCAGGGCTGTGGGCGAGGGTGCTAACAACACAGCGGCATGGCCACACCTGGGTGCTGGCTAAGCAGGGGTCAGGGACAGACGGGCACTGAGCGGTTTCCTGCCCTTCCCAGGGCTCTCCAAGTCACCTGGCCATCCCTCGTTTCACCTCTGACTCCTCAAACAGAGGGCCGGGACTGGCTGCGGGGCAGTGTTCCAGCAGACAAGTCGCTAGCTCAGTACCTGGAGAGAGAGTTTACTGTCCTCGTGCTTCTTTTTCACTTCTTCAGACTGCGTTTCGTAGATTTCAAAGAGCCTCTGGGCCACGTTTCTCAGGACCGCTGCCCCGGCTTCTCTGGAGGCTTCCAGCTGGGGAGAACAGAAAAAAAAAAAAGGTCACCATGCCTGTCTTGACATTTACCGTGAAAAGGGTTTAAGGCAGAACAGGTTGACGAGCAATGAAAGACACAGAGGCTGTGACTGTCCTGTTTGCACCCTCGTGGACATGGACAACGGACAGCAGGACAGACGCTGTTAACTAGGGAGAGAGAGGAACGTGTAAACCGAGAAGCCCCAGACCAGAGCTCCAGGCACATCGGGGCCCTGTGTGTACAGACCTCGCCCTTCAGAGAGTCCCACGGTGCCAGTTCGGCAGCACAGAGAGCGAACCAAGACAGGGAGGGGGAGGGAGGCATGTCTCACCCATTAGTTCAGCTGTCCTGAGCCTGGCCAGGTAAGATTGCCAGGTGTTCCGAAAATCACAAGAAAAACCACGATAGTGTAGGAGGAGGGGAGCCTTTGAAATTCCGCGTGTATCATCTCCACTGTCTGGGAAAGAAAGCCTTTGAAACTGCGTGTTAATCCCAAGGTCTGGAGAGGGCGAGGGGGAAACTAGGTGCTGGCTACCAGCATCAAACCCATACAATCCCAATAGTCAGGGCACCCCGACGAACTGGGTGCTCACTTGCAGCTTCGTGCCCAAGTGTGTTTCATAAATGAACACACTATCGTCTCTTGAATGAATCCATCTCTTGTGAGCGAGACAAGAACTGGGGAGGGGGAGCCTCATAAGGCAGGGCTCCCAGGTAACAGTGCCCATCAGCTCATACAGTTATTTGAGAACATTTTATCGTCAATGTCCATGGCAGCACTATAAGATGTATTTTCCTGAAATACCAGTGCTTGAAATAGACAAGACTGGAGTATTAAGGACAATAAATCTAAAGTGTCCTGAATCTTATGAGAATTTAACCTAAAGAAATAATTAAGGATGGCTGCAAAGATTTACGTACCAAGACAGTCATGCAAGACTGTACATATATAATATATTGTGTAAATACAAGGCATGCTATATATAATATATAGTATATGACTACATAATATATAGTATGTGTCTGTATAATATAATGTGTATATAATATATAATGTATAATAAAAAGGAAAATATAAAGCATCCAACAATATATTAAACAAAATAATAATATATATGACTATGAATGCTCTAATTAATATTTATTAAATATGTGAAGACTTTTTAAAAATATACCGTAGTAAGAACACTTCACAGGAGCCCAACTCTCTTAACAAATTCTCAAGTGTCCAATATAGTATTAAGTAGAGGAATTATCCTGTACAGCATATCTCTAGAAATTATTTGACTGGCACAACTTAAAGTTTATCATTGTTGAACTTTTGTAAGATCTTTTTAATAGCAATGTAGGCTCCCAAATAAAACAGTGAGAGTGCTTGACTCTATGAAACATCGAGCACTTCTCTGTGTGTGCGAGCAGAGGTGCGAGCGGATCTACAGACGTGTGGGTGTCTGCTTTCACGAACCCACAGATCTCCTCTGTTGGGTCAAAGGCTTGAACTACAAAATTAATGGCGGCTCCTTATGGTCATACCTTGATTTTCAACACTTCATTCTCTTTGTTCATTTCTAAGAGCTGTAGGTCTTTGCCTTTCATTCTTTCCATGAGCAGATTCAGATCGCAACACAAGGGGTCCACTTCAGAGTCGGAGCCGTTCTGAATGTTCCCACAGCACTGAAACGAACAAGCATGAAAATCACAGCCCCGACTTTCCTTTCCTCTACAAGCACTGGCAACAGTAATGATCGGTCCACACCACTTGTGTCATGGGACATTCCCGTCAGCACAAATAAATCTTCTGAATCTCAAGTATCACTAGGGATTTCTAGATGAAGCAGCTGGCCTCTATATTTCCTTAAACTTGAATAGATTCTTATATTTAGAATAGGCAGAAGTACATTTTTTATGAGTTTTATATTCCATATAGCTTTAAATAAATTGTACCATTAAGTCCTGTCTAGGAAATAAATAATATCTATAAGGCCAGTTTTTGTTTAAATAATCTAAGTTATACACATAAATGAATTTTGGTTACATTGCATTACCAACAAATACAATTAGACACAACAGTTACAATATTCAATGTTTAATGATGCTTCGTTGTAATCACCCTTTTAAATTCCCAATCAGAGATGTCAGAACTGAATGTTATTGCCAGTGTAACTATACGTAAACTCTAGCTCACTGAAAATATAATTGGAGCACAAAATAAATCTCACTTGGAATCAAGGACACGTGGAAGTAGAAAGGAAACCTGAAACCCCCTAACTGGACCACATCCGTTTTCCAGATACGAAAACTGAGGGGCAGAGCCCAAGTTCACATAACAAGTGAGTGGGAGAGCTCAGGATGCGGCCTCCTGGTCCTCCACCCTGTGCTCTTTCTGCTCCTCCAAATTATTTCAAGACAGACTGAGGAATTATTAAGCAATTACATATATATATAAATATATATATAAATATATATATAATATATATAATATATATAATATATATAATATCCTACAATTGTAACAACTTTTATTTATTAAGCATCTATCATGTGTCAGCTAATCTTTTAGCTGTTTCATATACACTCCTTTGTCTGAATGCCCAGAACACTAGAAGGCATTATGTCCATTATACAGATGAGGAAGTTGAAAATTAGAGAGTTTAACTAACAAGCCCAAGGTTATACTCAAAATAATTGCCAGGACCAGGATTTGAATCCCATTTTGTTTAACGATAAAGCCCATACCTTCTCTAGTACAACAAACACACTATACTTACAGAAGTAAAAGATAAAAAGCATTTAGTGCATATAAATAACAGAGTTACAGTAACTCTGTTACGGTTTTGTTTTTTCTACTTCAGACCCTGGTGCATCTTCTCACTCTCCAGATACAGAGTAGCCAGTATTTTCTTCTTTAAATTTATTAAAGAAGATCTGATGGAAGAACTCTCCATCTTCCAACTTCCCTTCCCTTGCCCTAAAGGAAGGACGAACTCCATACATTGGGAAAATGGATTTGAGGTGCCCGTAGGTCTTCCTTCTTCTTGGTTTTTGCCTTCTCCGTCAGTAAGCTCCTCCTTACTCCAAACGCTGATGATTGGAGTTTGGGCACTTTAAGGCTTTGGGCATACAGACTTCTGTTCTGCAACAGCAGAGTCCTACCTAGGTCATTGGAGTTGAATCTCTGCTGCACCATTACCCAGATACTGCAGGGGAAGGGGCTGATGTTTTGATGCTTGGTTTGTCTGCCAACCTTCTGTGATCTGAGATGGCCAAGTGGAGACACTGGCAACATAATTCACCTCCCTTCCTAAGAAGCTATTTCTGTTAAGGTCCCCAAAACCGTCCCACTGTTATAACCAGTGGTCAGTGTTCAGTCCTCAGTTTATTTGACCCATGGACACCGTTTGACCCAGTGGTCCCAGACCACTTTCTGAAAACCCTTTCTTGTTCTCAGTGACTCCATTCTGTCCGGTGTGTCCCCCAAATCCACCAGACTCTCTTCTCAGTCTCCTCTTCTTCCCAACATCTCAGTGTTGGACATCTCAGGACTCAGAGCCTAGGTTGTCCCTCATTTCTGTCCACACTCACATGCACGGGTGATCTCCAGTTTCAGGAGTCTGAGTACCGTTGTTACTCACAAAATCTCTACCCTGCAGCCTGGACCTTCTAGCCCAGACCTCTACCCTCAACTCCAGAATCAGAAAGCCAGCTCACCCACTAGAAACCTCCCCTTGAAGGTCAAATAACTCAACAGAACTGAAACAGAATTTCTGATCTTTCCCATCATTCACAAACATTAACCTTTTTTTTATTTTTGCAGTTTCAGAACACTTAATTTAAAGAAAATAAATGAGGCTAGTTGTGTTCTTTTGGAGGGGCTGAAAATAATAAAGAAGACTATGTTTATGCATCATGCCTTATCTTTGGTGTTCTCTGGGACCATCCTACATAGTGGATAACACCGACATTGACAATATGCACTTGGCTCAGGTGAGGTTGAACTTGGCCCAATCCAGGCAAGACTAAGTGCAGATCATTCAACCTTAAGAATATAAGACTGGCCCTGGCTGGCGTAGCTCAGTGGATTGAACGTGGGCTGCGAACCAAAGCATCGCAGGTTCGATTCCCAGTCAGGGCACATGCCTGGGTTGCAGGCCACGGCCCCCAGCAACCGCACATTGATGTTTCTCTCTCTCTCTCTTTCTCCCTCCCTTCCCTCTCTAAAAATAAATAAATAAAATATTTTAAAAAAAGATTCTCTCCAAAAAAAAGGTCTGTTTAAAGAAAAAAGAATATAAGACTGGTCATGCAGGGGCAGAGTTCCTTTAAACTTAACAGTTGTCTCATCACTCAGGGTAATGGCTTTAACTGCATGCCCATTGCTGTGGCTCAGGCAACCGTAAAAGCTGAGACCTTTGTCTGTCATTGGGAAATGCTACTGCTAAGTATCTTGGCTGGGCCCGATACCTTCCCACATACTTTAGATAAGTAAGCCCAGCTTAAAATATTCAGGTAGGGTCTGGTCAGGGCTTAAATATTTCATACATATGTGCATTAACATCTTTAGATACTGATAAAATATTTAACACTCATCATGCAAAGCTTTCAAGAGAATAATTTCTATAAGGCTTTGTGTTTGTTTACCAAAGGAATAAAACTGATACATGTTGATAAGTTCATTACCTTCGCGTCTAGTCTGTGCTTTGTACTGTTATGTCCCACTTCATCTCTAAACATCTGATTTCGGATCTTTTCCAGAGTAGTTCGGATCTAGAAGAAAAAACAATTTTTTCCAAATGTCAAATGACTTTCCTTCTCTATCCCAGCAGCAGAGTGCTTGATTTATCCAGAAAGGAATAAATACATACCGATCTCAGATGTAAATAACTACCATCAATCTAACTTGCATTAAGGCTAAATTGTTTAGAGTGTAGCAAATGAGCACTTGGTCTTCATAACTCTCAGTCAAACAAAATACAATCTGAATGAATATTATATGACAAAATAATTACTATTTAGTAATTAGTATTTAGTTCTATTTAGTTGTTTTTTCTATATAGTAATTTAGTACTAATTTACTATTTAGTAATTACTATAAAACAATTGCTATTTAGTAATCACCACAAAATAATTACTATCTAGTAATTACTATAAAATAATTACTATCTAGTAATTACTAGAGAATAATTACTAAGTGGAGACCATACAAATCTATGCATGAAATACAAACCCCATGTCTTGGTGACCTATGGAATTGTAAGGCACTCAAAGATGAATTAGTAGATCTGACATCAGTATCCAAATTTTTCTATCTGTTGTAAGAAATAGTTCATAAGAATATGTGTTTTGTTAGCCATTATCATTGGATTCTTAAAAGATTTCACACTTTTAATGACAGAACATGCCAACACGTACTCATTGGCAGATAGCAACACAGAACTGGGAGAAGAAACGAGGTCAGAAGAGACAGAAACTCGGCAGGAAATGCGACTTCTACTAGGGAACACGGTACCAACACTCACGAGACAACCAAAAAACAATGCAGAACACAGGGAGTGCCGAGGGGAATAGTGTGGGACAAATTCAGTGCTGTTGGTGCTCTGAACCCCCCTGGCTCCTTCTTCAATTGTGCTACAGGTGCTGAGGTGGAGAGAATACCAAACATGTGTTTCAACCTCAGTTATCAAGACTGCCCTTTGCACACTGGGTTTGTTCTTCCTCACACGCTCTCTGGAGGGAGAAGCAGAGCCCAGAGATCTATACTAGACTTTATTTTAAACCATCACACCACGCTAACAAGATGCCTGGTACCCACATACCATTTTCACATATTCGGTTTCCTCGATAATGTGAGCTGATGTGGACTCATACGGGGAAGAATTATCTTCTGTCTCACCCCTTGGGGGGGCCTCTGAGGTCATGGCTACTGTCGTCATCATGAATTCTGCCTTCAGGAAAACAGAAATCGGTTACACAAACTTTTGATAATGTGATTGTATGGTGTGTAAACTGTACTGGCACTGTAATCAAATACTGTATAGTAGAAAACATTATAAATTATTGACATCTGTGTATCAATAAATCCAGGCATTAACTTAATATGAAAACAATACCTGCTAAAACCGTCATTGATTAGAAACTTAAAGATAGTCTGGGAAGGAAATATTTAGATTTTTTCTTTTTATTCCACATTATATTAGACTATAAAACCTTGTGTAGAGACCATGTCGTCTTCTTTATATTCTAGCACATAGTAAGGGCTTAATAAGTATTTGTGGAACTAAAATAATATAATTATAACAAAATGATATGTATACATACATATATCACTTGTATGCATATATATACATAAGCATATAATATATCATATACGCATATGATATACACATGTATATCACCTTATACCTAACACAGAGTATTATGAAGTATTTGCTTTTATATACATTTTATTTAACTCTCAATAGCCCATAAAGGCCATTTACTGAACATCATTTGTAATAGGTAATAGTAAAAGATTAAGAAAACTTCCAATGCCCACAAAAAGAGGACTGGCTGAATGAACTACCTACTGCTCTGAACTCCTCTCCAGGGCGTATTACTCAGTGAAAGAGCATGGTGCAGAAAAGGATACGTAACATCACAATTCCTATAAGAAGAAAGCGATGGATGGAAGGGGGCAATCTGTGATCTACAGTTTTGACATTGAACAATACCATTATTTTACCTATTTATAAGATAAAATGAAGTGAAAATGAAAAAAATCTTTCAAAATAAGAAATGCCTGTACATCAAATTGGTGGCATAGCTACATGTATTATTTGAAGTGACTTAAAACACACACTAGGGACTATTTGTCCCAGGTGTGCAACGTCCTAAGAACAACAAGAACAGCAAAACGACCTTAAACTACACTTACTAACAGTATTGTTAGTGGAGACATCGGTACTGCTATTTTGAAAAGATTTTACGTGAGTGCAGACGTGTGCCCGCACTCACCCACGTGAGCGCACAATAAAGCCGAGAAGTCGCTGCCTGAACATCGTTATGAAATAAGATTTTTAGAGTAAGCGGAAAAAATACACAAATTCGCATAAAAATGTTACACAAAAGCCGTATAATCTGAACTGAACTTATAAGTACAAAATAACGATTTCTTTTCCTTTAAAAATGTATATTCTAGATCTAACCACTGAAAAATAGCAATTAACACTCCTAGCACCCAGGCTGTGGCCTCGGTCTACCATTTTCTACTGAAGAAGCCAGGCCTTTTGAGTGATTCAGATCTGGGCAAGAAAGAGACAAGGTGAGCCCGAGATAGCCTGTCATACCAGAAAGGTTGCAAATACTACTTGAATAAAAACACCGAAAATACCAGCCTAAAGAGGAAGGACTGTGAGGAACTGAAATATAGCCAAATTTTTAATTTTTAATTTTTAATCTTGTATCTTGCAACTTTGCTGCATTTACTTACTAGTTCCAACAGTTTGGGTTTTTTTTTTACTTTTTTTTATACATCTTTATATAACTTTTTGTACATTAGTAAAATTCATAGTATGTTTACAATTCTTTTTTTTTAAACTTTTTTTATTGTTGTTCAAGTACAATTGTCTCCATTTTTTTTTTAATTCCTGAAATTACAAGGACAGGAGAGAAACCAGCACTACCACCACCACCACCACCACCGATCCTCACTGTCCAACTCAGTGGAGGTGGGCCACCATTATATTAACAATTAGCCCCCAGAAGTGGTGGAGGGTCACCAACAAACACTTATCTTGCCTTGACTGTGTGGACTACAATTCCTGCTTACATATATGAAGGATTGATAGAACTAGAAAACCTACATTTTGCAACCCCTATGAAATAAAAGATCTAAGCGACAGTTATCAGCCAGCACTAAAAACCAGGTCAGAGGTGGATGAAGGATGCGTTAACCTGAGGGACCCCACTAGTCAACTCCACGTACGTAAAAAAGACACAGCCAGACATTTCGTCCTCTACGTGCAGTACATTGACTAGGAAATATGGTATTTTTAAAAAGTGAGCTGGAATCTAATCAGGCCTCTGTCTTGAACAGCAGCAGTTATCTGAACAAGAGGAACATGTTCAATGAATCTGCAAGGGTCAAGGTTGCAATCAGCCAAATCCAGATCCTATGAAATATTATAGGACAAATAACTGCTTCCTCCCACAGATTAATTATATGAAGAAAGATGAGGCGAAGAGAAATTGCTATAAATCAAGATTCCTAAGAGACACTTGACCAAATATAAATCTATAAATCTTCTTTGGCTCATGGTTCAAATAAACCAACTATATAAAGACATTTTTGAGAAAACTGGTGAAGTTTTAACATTGGCTGGATAATGGAAGATATTAAAGAATCACTGTAATTTTACTAGGTGAGATTTATGACATTCTTTGAATAAAAATCTTTTCTGTTAGTCATATACTCATACATTCTGAAGTATTTGCAGGTGAAATAATATTACATTTAAAATTGCTTTAAAATACTCTAATACAAGCCCTGGCTGGCATAGCTCAGTGGATTGAGCACAGGCTGCGAACCAAAGTGTCGCAGGTTCGATTCCCAGTCAGGGCATATGCCTGGGTTGCAGGCCATGACCTCCAGCAACCGCACATTGATGTTTCTCTCTCTCTCTCTCTCTATTTCCCTCTCTAAAAATAAATAAATAAAATCTTTAAAAAAATACTCTAATACAGAAGAAAAATGGGTGGAGTAAAGATGAGAGAAGTTTGGGCAAAATTGCGGGAATTGTTAAAGCTGGGCAGCTGGGCCTCCTTCCACTCCTCAACCTATTCTGTTTCCGTGGGAAATTTCCGTAATAAATAGTAAAGAACTAAAAAATAAAATAACATAAAAAGTCCTGTGAGGGAGGATTATTAATCTCATTTTACTGATAAAGAAACCACGACTCCCAAAGGTAACTTACCGAAGATCACAGTAAACTTAACAGGGTTGAAACTCAAACCTTTATCTTTTAGCCACCAAGTTCAAGGGTGTTTCCATCACAATAAAGCTGGCTTCCCTAATAAGAAAAAAAATAACAAACAAAAATATTTAAAATTTAGCAATAGCCTATGCTGTTAAACCACACAAAGAATTTTCATATTTACTAGCATTTTATAACTAGATGGTTTCTCGGGCTAACTCAGAGTTTTGCATTGATCCTTTAATCTGCAATGAAATTGACAGACTATGCCAAGAATTTTCCATTTTATTCTAAATCCTCTTCTTAGACAGCCATGAGGGCTTCTGTTTGTTTGGGCTGGAGTTGATTTGGCAGCTGCACCTCTGCTGGGCAGAACGTGAGTGGAAGTACTTCTGTTCCTGGGTCCTCTTAAGTGTCTTCTGGGGTGAGGTTCTTGGTCCAAAACAACATTTAAATGCCCAAAGGACAAAATAAGCTAACAAACAAAATAGAAACAGACTCACAGATACAGAGAACAGACTGACAGCTGTCACAGAGGAGGGGGTTAGGCATTCAGTGATAAGAGTGGAGGGACTAAGCAAAAAAAAAAAAAAAATGGAAAGAAAGAAAATGAAAAAGAAAACCTCACTGACACAGACAATGGTACGGTGATGACCAGAGGAAAAAGGGGATAAATGGTGACGGAAGGAGATTTGACTTGGGGTGGTGAACACACGATACAATATACAGATGATGAATTATAGAACTGCATGCCTGGAACCCTATAGACTTTTATTAGCCAGTGTGCCCTCAATGAAGCTAATAAAAATTTTAAAAAAGAAAACAGAAATACCCATGGAGACAATCAGCAAGGTGTTTAGAACCAGTGGTGGAGCGGTCAGTACACCCCGGCCCTGGAGCCCAAGCTGGCTTCCTGTCTTTTCTTAGACAGCCTATGATATAGGAATGGCTCTTAACCCTGGCTGGCGTAGCTCAGTGGATTGAGCGCGGGCTGAGAACCAAAGTGTCGCAGGTTCGATTCCCAGTCAGGGCACATGCCTGGGTTGCAGGCCATGACCCCCAGCAACCGCACATTAATGTTTCTCTTTCTCTCTCTATCTCCCTCCCTTCCCTCTATAAAAATAAGTAAATAAAATCTTTAAAAAAAAGAATGGCTCTTAACTGTCAACCATTCAGAAAAAAATCAAAAGAAGAATAACATTGTACAACAAGTGAAAATTATATGAAGTTCCAATTTAGTGTCCATAAATAAAGTTTTACTCTCACCCTGGCCACTCATTTACATACTGTCCATGGTGCTTTAACGCTGCCAAGAGCAGAGTTGAGTAGTTACGTCCCAGAAAACCTGTGACAAGCGATGTTCCATCAGTTTACCATCATCTGGTCCTTCACAAAAAACTCCGAGGTCAGGGTGCAGCAAGGGGTGGGGGCAAAGCCAGTGGGGAAACAGAGGCAAGCAGAACATCAGTTTGGTCTGAGTTGCTTTTTGTTCTCCAGTTCAATCCCCCTTGACCTACAGTCCCACTGGATGGATTTCCTTCCTTTGTTTCTTTTCACTATGTTATATAATGTGTATACAACAAATGCAAGGAGGCATTTCATCATAGCAAGCGATGCTCTTAAGAACAGGTCCCACTGATTTCTCTCAGTCTTTCATAACTTAAAAAATCACAACAGGCCTCATGTTATATAACCAAAAATATATTTTCTTTTGCGTCCTTTATTCTTCATATCCAGGAATACAGCTCCTTATTCACTGCTATTTCCACTCACTATTGGGCCATTTGGAACAAGTCCCATAAAATCCTGGCCTCAACTTACATATCTGTAGCATAGGGGCAAGAACACCTACAGTTATAGACATGAGGAGCTTTTCATCCCTGTTTGTAGAAGGCACTCAGCAGACAGTAACTTGATATTACTACTCCTATTATTTTATATTATTGACGACTACAGAAGATAAGCAGCCCATAACAGAGGGGGTAGTAGTTCATGCCTAGCTGGTTGCAAAGTTTATAACCCGCCCCCATTTATATAAAATCAAATTCCCTGTCTCTCTTTGGTTCAGAAAACTTGTGCAACCACAGTCCTCGATTTATACAAAGAAACCCAAGGGGAACTTAAGCCCACAAAGTCCAAGTTGCCATATGGCATTACCATCCTGGGGAAAATCCATCTTAGCATTTTATTTCTGCCAGAAGTAGATTAGGCAGATAAAACTTTCAAAATAAAACTCAATCAGTTAATTAAAGTGAGAAACGAATTTTATTTGTTTTATGCTAGAGTGGATTGAAGACAGCTTACAAGTGGCCTCACTCCAAGAGGTGTTATTTCCTAGACCAGGGCTTTTCAAACAGGGCTCCGGGCGGGGAGGGGGTGGGGGCTGAGCCCACAGAGCTTTGCTGGCTCCTCTTGAACCAAAGCAGCTCGGCTTTGTTCAGCCGCACAGTGAATCTTTCCAGGAGACTCTCTGTGCAGAAAGAGCTTTCTACAAAGGACAGGCCTGGAGCCGGACTATCTGGTTCGTGGCCGGACCCTGCCACTCAGTAGATGTGTGACTCTGAGCCATACCCTTCATCTCTCTGGGCCTCTGTTTCCTTGTCGGTAAATTTCAGATAATATCAATAACATTAGCAACGAATAACGTAAACAATAAACTGAGTGGAACTGTTTGAGGTAACATTTGTCAAGCACTTACAAGAGTGCCTAACACATAATAAATGATTTGTACATGTTTGTCAATCTAGTCAATAGACGATGAAACCAGAGAAGCACCAGGTAGTATTTCTGAATAGTGTGCAGATCAAGCTGGGCCATAAAAGAAAATCTGTCTGGGGGAATTTAGACTAGCAAATCCATGGTATTGGTTCTTTCTTGAGAAGAGAGAAACCATCCATCAACATCCCCAACTGATTATTCTATCAGCTAACAATTTACAATTTACAAAGCAATGCACACACATTATTGTCAATTATGATAAAGCAACACATCACTGGTCACCCAGAATAATGTAACTAAGCCTACTCGTCTGTTTAACAGTAGAAGAATGGCTTATCTGTTACACCATAAACCCATACAGGGCACTGTTACGGGTTGAATTGTGTTCCCTCTCCATTCATGCGTGGGCACTCCATTCACGCCTCAGGGCATGGCCTTATGTGAAAGTAGGGTCACTACAGAGGTAATTAGTTAGGATGAGGTCGTCCTGCAGTAGGGTGGACCTCTCATCCCGTATGACAGGTGTCTTCGTAACAAGGGGCACTGTGGACACAGACATGCACCTGGGGAGGACACCTGGCGAGGCGGAAGGACACCAGCGAGTGCCAGAGAACCATCAGAGACTGGGCCGTGGGAACCCAGAACAGACGTTCCCTCGCACCCCTCCAAAGGAACCGACTCTGCCAATGCTTGTCTTGGACTTCCAGCCTCCAAAACTGGGAGACAAGCAATGACTCTGTAAAGGCTGCCCTGTGACCTTTGTCATAGCAGCCCTAGGACACTAACGCAGGCACTGTTTATATCCTAGAGATTCTAACCAAAGTGTTTCTTTCCTTCATTTAACCCTTGATTCAGTCATTCATGTAGTAAACGTTCACGGAATACAGCTGTGTTAAGGGCTGTGGCCGAGGAGGTGAGCCAGAGACCCTGCCATCCTGTACAGGGACTTCGAGGACAGGCTGGGGGACAGACGTCAGACAAAACAAAAACACAGGTCACCAGGAGCATAACGAGAGGTGATGACAAGTGTCACCAGGGAAAGCAGAGCAGGGGAGCAGAACAAAAGGAGGCCCTAAACAAGGGAAGGCCGATCTGAAGAGGTGGCATTTAAACAAAAGACGTGAATCAAGAGAAGCAAAGCCCTGTGGCCATGTGGGAGAAGAGGGTTCTGGGAGAAGAGGGAAGGAGCAAGAACAGAGGCTGCAGTTTGCTTACAGTAGTGTTCTAAGAACCAGGAACGCAGCGTAGCCTACCATTTTTTCTTTTTCTTTTAATGTAGCAGGGATTTTTTTTTGAAAAGCCTGAAATGTAAGACTTCCAATGTGCCTGAGGAGCTGTCTCCACAGCCACTTCCAACAGCTCTCACCCTGGCTGGTGGAGGAGGCCTCCGGGCTGAAGGGAAGGCCGGGCTCAGCAAGCCAAGGCAAGAGCAATAGGCCCCAGGCCAGCCCAGGGAAGGGGCCACGAAGCCCCGCTGACCGCGCAGTAGCCTTTTCAGCTCACTTCCATTGGTGCTGACTGAGAAGCACCTTGGTGGATGCTCCACACGTTTTCACTGTTCAGCACCTGAATCTCCTCCCCAGATACACGGAATCACCATCTGTAGGAGTCTCTGTGGGAAAGGCCCCTTACCTGTCCTTCCTCCCTCCCTGGAAGCCCAAGTGCAACCCCTAGAGCCAGCCAACTGGGTACTCTCACCTGGAAAGGCCAGTAAGGGATCAGCGGTTGGGCTTGTGGAAGCTGGAGGCAGTGAAAACCCCATGATTATTCTGGGGCCAGGGGAGGCTGGCCCAGGGTGGTACTTTGTGTCCAGTGGCAGGAGCTCCTGCTCTTGCTACATACAGCCTGATCTTTGCTGAGGGACCAGCACACTGGACTCGCCCATTTCCAAATGGGGTTTTCCCACCAAGTCGGGGTGCTGCTCCATATCCTTCCAGCAAATTCCTTTCTTGCTTAAGTTAGCCGGAGTCAGTTACTCGGCTTTGCAACTGAGAGCCCTGGTCGATTTGCACACTGTTCCTGAGTTTTCAGTTTCTCAGTTCTGAGCAAATAATATTGAATATTGTTTCATCATTCCTGATCACTATCATATAGAGCTTAGACATCAGAAACTGAAAAGGTTTACCGCGAAAGTGCTACAAGGGTAATTAGGTCATAAAGGGGGACAAAGCTAACATATCTCCAAACCTGTGAAGGGACTGTCTGCTGAACAGTAGAGAGCATACCTGTTCCGCGTCCACATTCCACAGCACAATGGTGACATCCAGTGTCAGCTAGCTACATCTCAGGTGACCGTGCGCTCTACCTGAAAAGGGATGCAGAGTATGTCAGCAGACATGCATGCTACTGCTGAGCCCAAGTCATAACAGTTTTCAAGTAGTAATCTAAATCTTTAAAGTGGAATTCATTTTGTTCATTTGCAAATGCTACTCATTTGTATACACACACATATTTATATCATAGCTATGGAAAGTTCTTAGTATATAAAAGTGATTTAGTTTGGGGAAAAAAAGTATTGAAATACGGGTACAAGCAAAATATACAAATAACAGACTTCTGACAAAGCACTGTGTCATTTACCAAGAAATCACTTTCCATATACTTCCAAAATCAATCATTGTAACACAGCGTCTGTAGTTATTATCTGTATGTCTCCATCTTTATCCCTATGCACATATGTGTAATGCAGCCAAGTCACAGACCAGTGGTACAAGTTTTTTAAGTTCGTAAATTGACTTCATCACTTCAACCCAGATGGACTGATCCCAAATCCAGGGATCTTTGTAATAAAATGATCTATTTTCATAGTTCATGGATATAATTTGAAATTTTGGAAAACAGCAGAAGGTTTCACCCAGTGCTCCTAGAGCAGCTAAACTGTGAAGGCTGCAGGTGGGGGAGGGAATCACATAGACCCCTCCCCATTTGGGAAGGTGGGGAAGAGGGCGCAGGGTGTGTTGTGTGCCCGCCACATGTAGGCCAGTGTGTGCTCCGTTGAGTAATCCTCACGGACACCCTGAGAGGCTGGTGTTACTACTTCCACTTTACAGATGAGGAAATGAGGCTCAACACATACGCAAAGGCAGCTAGTTCATAATGGCCATGAACCCCAAACTGTGAGTCTGTTCGTTCTTCCCCACTCACCACCCCTCTCCTGCTGCATTCGGATCAAATATCTAGGCCTGGCTTCTTGGGCTCAAGCTAGTTTAGTCATCAGAGTTTTCCAAAGCAAGTCAAGTACCTCCTGATGCGAGCTCCTGGGTGAGTCCTTCAGGGACCTGAGCAGACACTGCTGCCCCAATAGATGTGCTTCATGAACAGGAGTAGTGTGGATTCATGGCTTAAAAATGGGGGCTTTGGACGATGTCGGAGCCACCCACAGGACTCTGCTGTCCTTCCCCACCAGTGGGGGGGCTTTGGGAAAGTCTGTAAACTCCCTAGGCCTCAGCTTCCTCAACCGAAAAGCTCAGATGACAACGGTAGCTTCCCCACAGAGTTGCATGAGGGCTAACAGGGATGACATGAAAAACGCTCACTGGAGGATCTGACCCATAACACACATCTAAAGAATATTAGAGACTTAAATTCACAACTTGTTGTGGACACGTGCTTATAGGACACCATTTGAAAGTGTCAATGGTAAGTTCCGTTGTCCCCACATGACTCCTGTTCCCCCACCAATCAGTTCATTATTCCTCCTGCCTTGACCTTGTCCATCAACAATCAACTCAAAAGCCACCGAGACTTGTCAGTGAAAAAAACACAAAGAGAAGCAGGTGTCAGTGCCATATATCTCAGTCATTTGTAACATTTATAAGCTTTGGAAAATTTCTTTTGTGACCTTATAAAATATTTTTAAAGTAAGAAGCTCAGGAACTTATACAATAGCTGTAAGTTCCTAAACTCACCCTAGAATAGTTTAGCTTTACCATAATTTACTTAGGTTTACAAATTATACAGCGAGGGGGGCAAACAGACAATCCGAAGTGCAGGTGAGGCTGTGGAGCTGGAGCTCGTGTCTGTTGCTGGTGGGACCGAAAATAGGCCACCCACGTGGGGCACCACTTGGGCAGTGTCCTATAAAGTTAAGCACACACTGTACCACTCAGCAATCCCACTTCTAGGTGTCTGCCCAAGTGAAATGAAAGTTTGTTCCATAAAACACAAATGTTTATGATTGCCAAACACTAGAAAAAATTCAAATATTCTTCAACAGGTGAATCCTACTTATCAATATGAAAGAATGAACTATTGATACACACAACGATATGGATGAATCTCAAATGCACCAGGTTGACTGAAGATATCCAAACCCAAAAGGCCACTCTCTAGTTCTGCTCACATAACATTCTAGACAATCCTGTGGGGACAGAACACAGAGCAGTGGTGACCTGGGGACTGGAAGGTGAGGTGGGGGAGCTGACTACAAAGGGGACCCAGGGAAATTTATTTTGGGTGGGAAGGGTGATATAACTATTCTAGAACTTGATGGCGAAGGTGGTCCATGACTGTAACCATTTATCAAAGCCTACAGAACTCTACACTAGAAAGGGCGAATTGATATGCTTTTGTTTTATAAATAATAATCCAGGAGTACCATAGAAAAAGCAAAATACAATTGAGATTTCAGAATCAAAGAACCTTCACTGACTTTATCAGCACTAACAAGAAGTCACAATTAGCTGGATTTGTTTTTTCTCTGTTCAAAATATTGACTCCCCCCCAAAAAAACAAGTAAATATGGCATAAAAAAGTGTTGGAATCAGGATTGTTAAAATGCAGGTAACTGAGCTGCTGATAGGCAGGATTATTGCTGCTACTAGAACAGTCAATGAAGCCTCATATTCAACATGGGGATAGAAATAAAGGAGCTCTAAACATCTTAAGAAAATTCATTCTAATTATTAGTTACTAAGGTGGAAAAGTAGGAGGAAATATCTAAAAAGTACGTAAGAATATTTGCAACAAGATTTAAATATAATTCATGAACTAGAACTTGTCTCATCGACCCATTGCTCTGCTACTCATGATCTACATGCACAGAGCATGTTGCCATTCTCCACAGTTGCCCTTTTCTGTGCAGACCGCCGATCAGGTCAATGGCTACAGAGTCCACTCGGGGTGGCCACCGCCTAAAACAGCCTGGACCCTGGACCCTGTGCTTGGCGGCCTCCACCCACCCTCTGGCTCCAGGAAGACAACACACTTATCCGAGGGCAGCATCCCACCCAAATCCAAGCAATACTAGAACAATACAAGGGTGAGAAGTAGCTTCTGGTTCTGAGTAAAACCAAATTCCTTATATTGGATAGATCAGGTGAACAAATTTTACGGTAAGTGAGCTTATCAAAACAATGAGAAGACGCTTACAGCTCCACGCGGATAGAGCCTTCTCCCAGGAGGGCGTGCCCACACCCACGTCAGAGTCTGCGAAGGTGGAAAGGATGAAGATGGATTCCTGTAACTGACATATGGCCCTTAGGAGACAGTCGGAATGAAACTGTCAGTGTACGACTGACTACACAAATGCACCTGTCCTAGAAATGCCCAAACCTTTACGGAGTTAGAAAAAAGAAGTTACCAGCAGAGACTGATCAATGCATCCAAACGCAGATAATTAAAAGAGGAGCGTTCCCGCCCAGTAGTTCCAGCAAGTTGTTCTGATATTTCAAACAGAAAACTCAGCTCCAAAGAAGCAGAGTCAGTGTTGGAAAACTGTATTATTTAACCTAGACTCTCTTGTTTTTGAATTTTAGAAGTTTAAAGATAAAATCCTTTGCACACCAAGTTGTCAATTAAATAGACCTCCACGTTCAGTTAATGCAACCCCTCCGTATAGGAACTTGCCATTTCAGCCCTAACTTACAGGCATTCAGAGACATATTGTCTTTTCTTTAGTGTCACAGAATCTGCCAACGTTTTTTATAGAAGGTTTCTCCTCAACTCGAGAAATCTCCTTAAGGAGATCTTTAAGCATAAGCTGTCAAGTGTCACCTCCTAAAAATGACTTTGCCACTTAGTAGTTGGCACGAAGCAGGGTGGATGGGGGTGCATAAGAAAACAGCGCTGAATGAACTGCAGTGTTCGAGGTTCCTGATGGCTGGGAGGGGCACATCGAAAGTCAGTGCTTTCTCGGTGTTAGAGAATTCGTATCTGTTCTATGGACTACACACAGAAAAACAGCACTGCCTCATAGGAACCTGGCTAACTTACAATGTTGGCCTAGCTCCTAAAAATGTCACAGAGAAAAAAAGTGTGGCATTTCCTCCTTTTTGGATTTTCTCTGATCTAAAAGCTCAAACCAGTGCCTGATTCTGTAAATAAATGAATAGTTACATCCATTTCAGTCTCCAGGACAGTCACAGAAATAACAGAGGAATAAAACTAAAAAGCATATAAATCCAGATACACTCCCTCCTAATTTTTGGCTACAGGGTATAGAATGATTTATGCTTTATAGTAACTGTGCCACTAAAATATGTTACTAAGAAGAGCTCATATTTTGAAGAGTAATTCAGTTATCACTATTAGGTCTAATAATCATCAAAATTCCCTTACTCTAAATGTATACATTTGGGATGAAAGCAAAGGAGATAAATCTTCTTTACAAATATTAATGTGAAGAGTTAAACACCTTCCAAGTCCAACCTAAAAGTGACTGATGCTTCTTTCTGTCAGCACGACTAGTCACGATTTTCATGGGAATATCACAGAAAGATCACAGTTGTGACCCATTGAGAAAAGATCAGTAATTCATACCAGAAATGCACTTTTCATAAACATAAATCAGAGGCCGGCTATTATCAGTTATTTTCTAGTTACGTTACCACGGAAGGCGGACCAGTGTATCTGTCTCACCACCTCAGTGTAATCACAGAGATGTCCCCCAGCCGCGGAACAGAACGTGTTGCCGCCATAGAGTGGAATGAGTATCAGTCAGCAACCAAAAGGAACCAACCGCTGAAACACGCTGCAACCTGCATGAACCTCAAAACGTCATTGTAGGTGAAAGAAGCCAGATGCTAACAGCCATATATTGTATGATTCCATTTGTTTTATTTTATTTTATTTTATTTTATTTTATTTTATTTATTTTTAGGGAGAGAGGAAGGGAGGGAGAAAGAGAAAGATCAATGTGCGGTTGCCTCTCACACACCCCCTACTGGGGACCTGGCCTGCAACCCAGGCATGTGCCCTGGACTGAGAGTCAAACAGGTGACCCTTTGGTTGGCAGGCCGACACTCAGTCCGCTGAGCTGTAAGCCCTGGCTGTATGATCCCATTTGTATAAAATGTCTGGAAAAGTCAACTCTAAAGTTACAGGCAGTAGAGCATAGTGGCTGCCTGGGGCTGAGGGGGAGTGACTGCAGACAGACACGTGGCATGTTCTTGAGATATTACAAATGCTTTAAAATTGGGTTGTGGTGATGGTTGTATAATTCTGTAAACTTACTAAAAGTCACTGAATTATACACTTCAATGTATTCTACAGTATGTAAATTATACCTCCAGTAAAGTTATTTATTAAAAACAGCAAAAAAAAAAAGGCAAGAATGCCTTAAATAAAGCTACTCTTTTCCTCTAGGATAAAATTAATTGCAGTCATTTTTTAATGTATTTTTAAGAAAAAAAATAACTTATCAAACAGAATTTTCTCAATTTGAAGTTTTTCATTCATTTGCTTTTTCCCTCTAAATTATTGGCATCCACTACTAAAAGTTTAATTTTTATTTAATTTGCATGAAATTGATATTTAGCTACTTTAAATTTAATATCTCAATATGCTATAATACTAAACCCAGAACACATGATTCCTAAGTTCTTCCCCAACCTAAGTGGGCAAGAAAAACACTGACCAGAATAACACACAAGTTTGTTTACAAATTTCACTGTAGATTTGGCTGTTTAAATCAGTGTAAGAGAATACGTGGTTTGAAACTAATGTGGTTTAAGTCACTGCCAAACTGATGATCACTGATGTGTGTGTTCTAATCTGCGGTCTCGTGTGTTCCGGATTCCAATGTCCTGTCAATTCCGTGAGGACAGGAATGGGTCTTATTCACACAGGGCTGGGACCCCCTGTGTCTCCAACACAGTGCTCTGTGCGAAGGGCACTCCATAAACATGCATTCGATGAATGCCTGAACAGGCCGAAACCCCAGATGCCCCGAATATTTCCAAAACTGAGTGGAAACACACACAGGCTCCTGTTTTCCAAATGCAGGTAGATTTTTTTGTGCTTAGTGAAATGCACTGGTAAATTCGCTTAAATGTATTATTAAACTGGCAGTAACATTTTGCTATCATAAACTTTCTCAGTCCACACCTGACCATATAAGTTTGAGGTAAATATCTCAGTTCAAAATATTTGAAACTAATTCCAAAGACTTTCAGTCCTTATCCCAGACAAACACACAACTCATCTTTTTTCCGTTGTGGCCAAGCCCAGCTTACATTTTTCATCTTTGGCCAGAATTTGGATTAGGACTCAAGCCCACGCGCTGTCCAGCACATGGTAAATTACTAAGCTAATCAACAACATGGTTTTATAAATTCACGGAGTCATCGAGGTGAATATTACAACTGAAATAGTGTCTATTGATGTCAAAAGCCTCTTTGTAGTTGGAGCAGGTGTAAGTTATTTAGCAAATCACAAAGACAGGCTCCGTCTTGGGAAGTTTGCCTGGGTCACAGGAAGTGCGAACTGTTTTCATTCTTTCTGTAAGTCCAGGAGCCCAGGGAAGGAAGGGCATCGCCTGCCTCAGGCACAAATTCCTCTGGGTCAATGACCTTTCCTCTCTGCCAGCTGCGGGGAAGAGGAGGGGGCAGCCTAGCAACAGGAAACAACAGCACCCATTGTGTCAGTCCCCGGGTACCTGAGACTTGAGCTCATATCAGATTTCTGGAGAACCAGACTTCTGCAGAATTGAATATTTAATAGCATGAGGTAAAATCAAAAGGACAGATTATCTCTTCCCTACAGCAAATGCAGAATACGGTCATCCACTTCTGCATTTAGCTGCTCCATCTAGGCCATACACACCAAGAAAGTAAAGGAGGTTTGTTTTCATGAAATAAAACAACGCTGGAGTGATGGTGAAGAGACACAGCTTCAGTTACGTTTGGGGCTAATTGCTTCTTCTGGCCTGCATATACGCACAGGGGTGGGCAAAAGTAGGTTTGCAGTTGTTCGTTCGTAAGGAAAACAGACAGGCAGGTTATGGTGACTACAATAGGCTTTGTTCAAAAGACATCACGACAGCAAAGTAACCTCCTTTTGCCCACCCCTGTATAATTATTTTCCTCACGAAGAAGGTTGAAAACCACAGCTACCTCATCATCTCATCTGAAAACAGCCCCGGCACGGTCCTGCACTGCCCTTTGCACAACTTCCAGCTCTAACATCCCAGGACGGCAGAACACCGAGGGCCAACGGGCCGTTCTCCGGCTACACCTGCAGCTACAGAGGCCAGCACGGAGGAACGGAGGGCGAGACAACCGCCTTCGTCCATTCATTCGCCTGGGCTCTCTAACAGTGCGGGCACGGTGACTGCCAGGGCCGAGAGGAGGGGATCTACAGGTGACGGCAAGTTTTTCTGCCCTGGGTTTAGCAAGTAGAAATCGTGGGGTCCTCCGGCAAAGGGCTGCATGGCAGTAGCCTAAATAACCCGGTGTGCACCGGGCGAAGGAGGAGTGCTCCTTTCTCACGGAGTGCGCAGGAGGGGGGCGGGGACGACTTTCTCTTCCCCGGGGAGCAGCAACTTCTCGCCCAGGAATCCGAGCACAGAACGGAGCTTCACCGGGAAGGATAATCTCCTCACCTGTTTACAGGGAAATGTCCCTGGTGAACCGAGCTGCGCAGGAGGAACAGCCCCAAGGGCACCTGGACGCCCGCTCACCTGAGGGGGTGAACTGGCGTGCGCCGCGGGGTCGCAGATCGCTTACCTTGGAGGACGCTCAGGGCGCGTGATGTCCCGGCGCCGCTACTCCCCTGGGCTCTCCCGCTGGGTGGGCCTGCAGGGCGCTGGTAGCTCCGCGATCGCAGTGGGATTGGGCTCCGCCCCACGGGGCGCGCTGGGGCAAAGTCCGGCGTCCGGGTGACTCCGGGGAGGAGCTTGGGCTCTCGCCGCGCCCAGACGCACGTTGTCTGCCCCACGCACCTCGGGGTGCGCTCTGTGCACCCCAACACTCAAGTCCCAAGCACTGCACGCCTCTCAGTAGAAATACAAGGGAGATCGTTAGGTTCATGAACTAGTGTTTCTGTTGTTTATAATTAAACTTTTTATTTTGGAATAATTTTAGATTTAGGACAAAGATGCAGAGATAGTAAAGAGTTGCCTAAACCCTTCGGCCGGTGTCCCCTAGTATTCCTGTCTTCCATTATCAGGGTACTTTTGCCAAAGCTAAGAACTTAACATTGTCTGTAGCTATTAACTAAACTCATCTTTTCGCATATTTCACTAGTTTTCCCCTAACATCCCATCCAGGATTCCACTCGGCATGTAGTGTCTTTCTGGTTAAGTTCCTCTGGTCTGTGGCAGCTTCTCAGCCCTCTCTGGTTTTTGTTTGTTTGTTTGTTCGTTCGTCCGTTTGGCACTGTTGAAGAATTCTGAGCTATTTTGTGGATTTCTCTCTTTGGTGTTGTCCGATGTTTTCCTCGTGACTAGGCTGTGGTTATGGGTCTGGGGAAGGAAGACCACAGAGGTCAAGTGTGATTGGCCTCACAGCATCTATCAGGGGGCGTGTGATAACAACATGGTCTGGTACAGGTGATGCTACCCTTAGTCACCTGGTTAAAGTACAGCCTGCTAGGATTCTCCAAGGTGGAGTCACTGCTTTTCTCTCTCCATACTCTCACCCTGTAGGAAAGTCACGAAGTTCAGCCCACACTCAAGAGAGGAGGGTGGGGGAGTAAAACTCCTGGAGGGGTAGGGTGGGGTATCTACATATAGTATTTGGAATTATTCTGCAAGGAATGTCTGTTCTGTCTGTCCCCCTTATTTATCTATTCAATCATTTATTTATATCAGTATGGACTCATGTATATTTACTTTATACTTTGAGCTAGATTACAATACTACATTATTTTGTTGCTCAAATTGTTCCAGCTTTGACCATTGGAAACTCTTCTGGGCTGGCTCCTGTGTGCCTTTGAAAATTCGTCCCCTTTTAGGGCTGAGGAAAACAACTTCCCAGACTATTTGCTCCACCCACCCCACATTGAACAGAGTTGGGAAACTGCAGCCCACACCCCCCATTATCCGAGCGCTTTTCAGAATCCCCCTGGGAATCCTATGATTACTGAGTCCCATGCTGGTAAGAGGAAAAGAAGTGGCGTGGGTGTGTGATGAAGCTGAGGATCAGGGCCCAACCGGAAGAGGAAAAGTTGGTGTTTCTTAGGCACGTGGTGGTTCTATTAAACACCAGATAAATGTGTGTTTACACACAAACCATGTTCCAGAGTTAGCCCTGGCTGTTTAGGATGGCTGTAAACACCGGAGAAATCCAGCCCTGGAGGGTCCTTTGTTAACATCGCTTTGGTTTGCTCGTGTTTGCATTTGCAAGCCGCCCCATAAACACAACACTTCCTCCTGCAGAGCTGGGATGTGGCTCAGCCTGCTGGCTGAGACCCTGTCACCTCCCTGCCTGGCCTTCACTTCTCCTGGAGAGGAACGTGCACCCCGTTGTTTCAGGCGAACACAGGGTGGATGGCCCGTGAGTACGCCAGCCCCACAGAGCTAAGTGATTTTCAGGATTTCAAGGATTTTTTGATAAAGTTACTAAAAGTAGTAATAGTTAAGTGAAAAATTTTGTATTAAACCCCATCCTATCCCAGAAGAAATTGACAAGAACGGAGGTGAAGGTGAGATTTCTTTGTGCACTTTTGGTGGGGGGGTATATGGAAAAACTACCTGAAAGTAGTAACTCTAATCAGTAGGAAGTATTGTTTCCTAGTTCTGCACATGCACTGTTACCTAGGTAATTTGAATACATCTTGAATAGAGGGGAACTGGGAGCCACTCAGGATTAACAAGAATGTGGAGTCCTGAAATCTTGGCAACCTACACGGTGCTGCTCTGGAGAATCTGGAGGCCATCCTGAAACGTAAAACTCCAGTGAAGTTCCTGAGAAGTTGGAAACCAGGGCAGAAGGGGCCGATGTTGATGGATTGCTCTTGCACCATAGCAGCCGATTGCTAGTTTCATGACAGCATGCCTACACATTATTTTAAATAGCCAAAGGCTTTGAAGCTGCTTTTCCTCACACTTTACCTGAGGTCATTCATATTTTAAAACAAAGTATTAGAATGATGCATTTTTTCTTGGTGATGGCTTGGGTGGTCCTGGTGGAGATTGTGCAGGGACTAAAGCATCCCCCAACCACCCTCAGCAGCGCCCTGAATAAATCCTCCTGCTAGGAGGGGCCAGCGGAGAGGGGGACCTAGGCCCGGAGGCTTCCTCCCTGAAGGGCACTGCGCCACTGTTGTTCGGGCTGAAAGAAATTCTGACTGTAAACCTAGGAGCCACGTAAGAGCCTCTGCTTTTTGACATTCAGACTGGGGCTTGTATTTGAAGTTATTGTCATTTATTTCTGTTTGGGAGTTATTTGCTAATAAAAGGAAATTATATGTGAAACATGTTTTAAATACAAATCTTGCTGTGTCATGCCAGCCCCTCAATATATACACACAAACACATACAACGCACACACACCACCACCACCTCCACCACCATTTGTTAAACATCAGTGCCCCCTCGTGACCTCATGGCCTTGGATTTAAAGCCTTAGCCCCTCCCCAAGGTGGAGAAGCCCTCTTCCCACCCTCCCACTTCCCCTCTTGCCATCATGCTGCCAGGTTGTTGGCTAGAAAGTGGGATGCATGGTGGTGTCCCAAACCCACTCTTTTTTCTCCACTTATTCCCACAGACTACAATGCCCTTTCCCCTCTTCTTTGCCCTAGAAATCCTTCTCACTTTATTCAGCATACACATGGACTCCTTACCTTGAACTCCCCAGCTCTCACTGGATACACACTTAGGTCTTCCCACAAGATGCTTGATATCGCATGATATTGCCTCAGTTTCCTATGGCAGCTCAGCTGTGACGAACAGCCACATTTAATATGTGACAGTTCCATAGGGTCGAGGTCTGACCGGGGACTCACTGGGCCAACATCATCAGTGCACCAGCAGGGCTGCCATCCCATCTGGAGGCTCTCATGAGACCCCGTTCTCTCGCTTCCTCCATCCTTTTCTAGGGGCTGCCTGCATTTCTTCATCTTCAAAACCAGCAGCATCTCTCTCTCGGACTCGGACTCTCCCTTTTCCACTTACGATCACATGCACTATAGCGAACATTTTGTGGGAAGGCCTTGGGAACACATGGACCCCAAATGAATCACCCAGGATAATCTCCCTGGATTATTAAGATCCCAAACTTAATCACGTCTGCCGAGCCCATTTGCCACGTAAGATTATATATTCACAGCCCCCCGGGTTCAGGACATGGACATCTTTGAGGGGCCCTCACTCTGTCTACCACAGCTGTGCTACTCAATTACTTTATAATTCAAGCATTAGTGAGGTTTTGGTATTACGTATTTCATTGTTTAAGGCATAAAATCAAGAAGGCATGGCAAAATGATGACGGTGACATGCTCCATCTTTTCTCTCTCTCTCTCTCTCTCTCTCTCTCTCTTTTGTGATGCTTCTGCCCATCTTTCTCTTCTTTCCTGCTTCCTTTCTGTGGAACAAAGCCAGCCAAAGGAGTGCCTGGTGTTGGAAGATCATCCAAATTCTTCCTCCTCCTCCAAACCTACAGCCTTCCTATGCTTTCTGGCACGTGTAGCACTGAGAGGAGAATGCAGATCCGAAAACCAAGGCATCTGATCTTGACAGAATGGAACTCGATGGGCCCCTGAGTCTTGTAGACTGAACTCTGAGCTGGGGAGGATGCAGTGTATCTACCAGTCTCTCATCATCCTGGAACGGCAATCCCTCCACTCTGTGTGAGCTGCTATGCTGCCTGCTGGGGTCGATTTTTATAAATTTAAATTTCAGTGAATTTGTATTTTAAATGCTTAAGTCATACATGCACATAGAAGACAACTATAAATGCAGTTACATAATAAATTAAAATATCTTCAGCAACAAATCATCACTGAGTAGTAGGAGAGCTAGTAAGGACTAGATGACTAAGAGAGAATGCTGACGGTTTGTTGGTATCCCAGGGAAGGCTCCAGAGGAGGTGGGGGGAGAGCTGGGTTTTGAGGGTAAGCACTGCGTCATCCCGGGACAGCAGGGGAGCCTGTGGAGCTCAGACACTGGAAAAGTCTCGAAGCCAGTCCATGCTCAGGCAGATCCCGGAGCTACCCAGCAGACCAGTCCAGCTGGACCAGAGGATAAAATGGGAGGCAAAGCAGAGAGGTGGGGGCAAATCATGTAGCAGACAGAGTTTCAGGTAATGTATTTTTCTTGTCCATGTCTGCTGAGGGAGAAAGGAGAAATCGTAGGAAATGAAACCCTGGTTGTTGTTATAAGTTCATTAATAATGTACTTAGCGAATATCTGTGAACAATATGAGTGTCTGCTTGTATATACAAGTCTGTCTGAACATGTGAATCTTTTCTAAGACTCCTTTCACATAATAGATACAGGAACCATGACATATACTAGGATAACATTCAAAATATGTCCCTACTGGTTTGGACAGGGGCACCAACCGATCAGAATAGCTGCCTGTCATAACCGACTGGCGTGCATGAGCCGACGTAAACCAGCTGAAGTTCATGTTGCTGCTCTCTGGGCAAAACTAGATGTTTCTCTCTCTGTCTCTCTCTCTGTCTCAAAATTACCCTTTGAAAGCAGGCAGTTGGGTATATTCCTTTGGACTTAATATGTTTTGATTTCCATAACCTTTCTTACTGCCATGAGCTTGGTCCACTCTGACTTAGCAGTAGCTGGGATAGTAAATGTCACTTCCTCTGTGCTGTGACCCCTTCCTTCCTGTGGATAGAGGGAGTGGAAAGGATGAGAGTTGAGATGCCGATTCCAAACACTTTG